ACCACCTTCACCGCTGTAGATCCTGACGGTGTAAGTTTACTCCTTCGACGCCTCCTTCGGGATGTAGCAGAAAGACAAACACTGAGAGATATGTTAATTGATGTATGGATATAATAGCTTCTTAGGGTCACCACCACTAACCACCATTAACCACCACTAACCACCATTAACCACCACTAACCACCACTAACCTGTCACTACGACCACCACCACTAACCACCACTAACTCACTACCACCACTAACCACCACTAACTCACCACCACTAACCACCATTAACCACCACTAACCACCACTAACAATCACTAACCACCACTAACGACCACTAACCACCACTAACCACCACTAACCACCACTAACCACCACTAACCACCACTAACAATCACTAACCACCACTTACCACCATTAACCACCACTAACCACCACTAACCACCACTAACAATCACTAACCACCACTACCGACCATTAACCACCACTAACCACTACCTGCCATTTACCACAGGACGGCAAGAGTAAGGTTCGCTACAGTATCCCGGCAGACAGTAACCCTGGGCGGCAGTTCAGTGTTGACGAGGAAGGGGCGGTGCGTCTGGTGGGCGGCGTTGACAGGGAAGCAGCAGCCTCCCATGAGGTGTTGGTGTGGGCGGTGGATGACGGTGAGCCGCCCAGGACCACCACAGCCACCCTGATTGTGAGTACCCACCCACTGAACCACCCACCACCCACTCATCTATTGTATTATATTCTTCTTCTCATCTTCCTCTTCCTCCTCCTTTCTTCTTCCCCTCCTCCTCCTCCTTCCTCCTCCTCACCTGTTTACCCTCTACCTCCCCTCTGAAGGTATTAATTTTACCTTCACAGATAAGCCAAATTGGATTACCTCGAAAATATTGCTCAGGTCTCAAGCGAAACCTCAAATGTTTGTGAAAATTTAAGATTGATAAAAGAAAAGTGTGTGTGTGTGTGTGTGTGTGTGTGTGTGTGTGTGTGTGTGTGTGTGTGTGTGTGTGATCCTATTTCATTTCCCATTTGACATATTAACCTAACCTAACCTAACCTAACCTAAACTAACCTAAACTAACCTAACCTAACCTAACCTAACCTAACCTAACCTAAACTAAACTATAGATCACACTATTTTTCCACCCATACATGACCTTTCTAACTGACCTTACTTGACCTCTACTGACCCTGACCTCTTTACTCTCCCTCAGGTGAACGTAACAGACGTGAACGACAACCCGCCCTATCTAGCAGAGCCGCAGGAGGTCCAGGTAATGGAGAACGGCGGCCCCCAGATGGTTGCCCGGGTCAAGTTTGGTGACCCCGACGACTGGGAACAAGGTCACGGCCCACCCTTCACCGTGACCCTTGACCCCAGGGCTCCACAACACGTAGCTGACAATATCCGGGTCACGTTAGATAAGAGTGAGTTTCAGGGTCACACAGGTCAAAACAGTAACAGATTTGGGGCAGATTTAGGCAGATTAGACGCTGGTGGTAGAGCGGTACCGCTCTTGCCTCGCAAGCAAGATGTCACGGGTTCGATTCCCGGGCCGGTGGAAGTTGTTTGGACACTCTTCCTCGCCCCCATTAGTCCCTGTTCACCTAGCAGCACAGTAGGTACCTGGTGTAAATCGAAAGTTGCGAATTCGTATTCAGGGAGTTGTTGGAGCTTCCAATAACTTGATGACATAAATCATTGACTCTTCAGGCTTCTACGCCCTTGACTCTTCAGTCTTCTATGCCCTTGACTCTGAGGGCTTCTGCGCTTCACCTTACACAAGGATGAAAATTTAGTCAGATTTAAGGGATCATGTGTCTGTCTGTCTGTGTGGTTTGTACGTATATGTGTGTATGTGTGTTAGTGTTTATGTGTGTATTTTATCGCGTATGTATGTATTGTATGTGTGGTTTTCCTTGTGTGTGTGTGTGTAGGTGTGTGTTTTTGCCAGTGTGTGTATTTATGTATGTATGTACAGTTTGTATGTATGAACGTATAAAAAAATCCCATTATCCCCAAACTCTCCTTAACCATCACCACCCCACCTACAGAAGCTAACGAAGGACGAGGCGTGGGCGTGGTGTGGGCGCGGGCGGGGTTGGACCGGGAGGAGCAGCGCGCCCTTATGGTCCCCCTGGTAGTGAGTGACGCTGGGTGGCCGCCCCTCTCAACCACCGTCACCCTCACCCTACACGTGGCAGACCTCAACGATAACACCATGACCCCAGCTGCCAAGACTGTCACCGTACACAGTCTGCAGGTTAGTTCCTTTCTGTCTGTCTGTCTGTCTGTCTGTCTGTCTGTCTGTCTGTCTATCTATCTATCTATCATACTCACACCCTACAAGTCAGTCTCTCACTCCCTTCCTCTATCTATCTATCTATCTACGTTGCCATCTATTGTCCACAGTCTGGCCCAAGCTCTTTCCTGCCTCCCTCGTTCAACACAATTACCTAGGCGTTATTTTTTCATCTCTGATCCAATCGCGTTGAAACTGGTAGAGATAGCGAGCTCGTTCGGTGCGCTCTCTCTCTCTCTCTCTCTCTCTCTCTCTCACAGCCCCAGAAGGACCGGGTGCTCCAGAGAGGCATGCAGATCCTGACGACTGGGACGCCTCGGCTGGACTCCACACCTGGAGGAAACAACACCCCAGGTTCTCGACACTTCTACAGGAGAGCCACCATGGCCCCTCACACACCTGAAGGGGAGGTAGGTGAACGTCCTCCTCCTCCCCCCCACCACCCCCCCCCCCACACACACCTGGAAGGGAGGTAGGTGAACGTCCTCCCTCCTCCCCCCCCACACCCCACACACCTGAAGGGAGGCAGGTGAACGTCCTCCTCCTCCCCCCCACCCCCCCCACACACACCTGAAGGGAGTGTAGTGAACGTCCCTCCCTCCTCCCCCCACACCCCACACACCTGAAGGGAGGTAGGTGAACGTCCTCCTCCTCCCCCACCCCCCCCCACACACACCTGAAGGGAGGTAGTGAACGTCCTCCCTCCTCCCCCCCCCACCTCACACACACCTGAAGGTACTCAACCGTCGATATTTGTTTAATGATTTACTTACTGATTTATTCATTCATTTTTATATTAATTTACTTATTTATTTATTTCATTCAAGGTTTATTCACGTCTCTCTGTTCAGGTACGAGTTGGGATTCACAGTAAGTGACGTCACACACGGTCTATCTGACGTCGAGGCCAACGTCACTGTCTACGTCACTTCCTTGGGCCCCCGTGACGTCATCGATGTCACGCCCCTCACCATAGCGGCTGACAGCTACCGTGTGGTCAAACAGGAGGGAGAGGTGAGAGGGAGGGAAGGAGAGGTGAGGGAGAGGGAGAAATGACAAGTGAGAGGGAGGGATGTCAGGTGACAGGAAGGGAGAGATGACAGGTGAGGAGAGGGAGGAATGACAGGTGAGGGAGGGAGAACAAAGGAGAGAGAGAGAGAGAGAGAGGAAGGTGCTGCAGGACAGGAAGGAGAGAGGAGGGAGAGGGATGAGAATAGAGGAATTTGATGACGTAAAGAGGAGGTGAGGAGAGAACGAGATGACAGACGTGAAAGGTGAGAGGGAGGTGAGTGGCAGGTGAGAGGAGGAGAGAGAGTGAGTGAAAACAAAGGAAAATCTCACAACAATTTTAAAGTATCTGTAAATATTCCTACTTAAATAATCCCTATTTTTAAGTAACAATTATGACCTAAATTTACACCTGTTAGAGGGACCTAATTATCACCTTAATTATCCCTTATGTATAATTAAGTTTAGATATTATTAATTTGTGTTTATTTGAAGGGCCAAACGTCCATACTAACGAGGTTGATGAGAGCCGTGAGGGCGTGGGTTGAGGAGGAGAAAGAAGAGAGTGTGGGTGGTGGTATGGGCGTGAGGGCGGTCTCTGTACAGCCATTAGGAGGACACAGCACCACGCCCCTAGCCACGCCTACAGCCACGCCTCCAGCAACCCGTGTGTGGATATCGTCACCTGGTGTGGCTAATTTTGACCATATTTTACTATACCGCAGGATGGAGGTAAGGTACTCTCTCTCTCTCTCTCTCTCTCTCTCTCAATTTTGATCCATCACCCTCACAGCAGCACTCTAAGTTACCATTGTGAATAAGTCAACAAAACACGAACACTCTCTCTTGTGCTGTCGACGTGTACAGAAATATACAAATGAATATACACATAACACTCACTCGACCCTCATCCGCGTGGGTAAAGACCAGTATGTATATTTCCAAAAGCGTATTAATCTCTTTTGTTTGTTGTTGTTATTTATTAGTGGAAAAACAAACAGGCGTTGGATGTTCATTGGTACGACCCATTAATCTTGTTTGTACCCGGACAGTTGAGTCAAGCTATAGGTGTTGATGTACGGGACGTGGGCGTGGTGACCTGTGATGAGGACGCCCATGCTGCCGTCCAGGACATTACCCACGAGATGACACCTGGAGTGGCCCTTGTAACCACTCAGTCAACTGTCCATGTGGCCACCCATGAGGGCGCTCAGAAGGCCGCACACGACGCCACCCTCACTGACACTCCCGAGGCGTGGAGGTGTGTGGGCGGGTGCCGGGTGGGTGTGGCTGACGGGTACAGTGTTGTAGATGCCAACACCTCGGCTGTGGTGGGACCCTGGGTGGGGGTCCGCAGTGGCTGCGGCTGTGGCAGTACTGCTACACCTGTGAAGGACCACATGTGCACTCATCACACCTGCCTCAACGGTGGCAGGTGTATCCCGACGTCCAGAGGCATCAGGTGAGATGGACAGCTTTAGGTGCGTGTGTTGTGCTCAGATGTGGGGAGACATGGGAATAATTGTCACTCTTTGTACAACACCTGTTTAAGGTCATATCTAACTGCAGGTGTGTTTGTCCGCATAACACCTGGGGCTCGAGATGCAAGGTGGTCAGTCGTCACTTCGAGGGCGGTGGGGGCGGCCAGGACACTGGGGGCGTCATGGGCGGGGCCTCCCAGGTGGGCGGGTGGGCATGGGTGTCTGCCATCCCGCCCTGTACAGAGGTGCACCTGAGTCTGGAGGTCCTCACTCAGACGGGGACGGCGACGCTCTTGTACTCAGGGCCAGTCACTGAAGGTGCCAGGGTCGTCAGTGACCTGCTGCTGCTGGAGCTGCGTCAGGGCCGCCCCTTCCTCTTGTTGGACCTGGGTGACGGCCCCGTCAGCCTCGCCCTCAACGCCTCCTACACCCTCGCTGACAACACCTGGCACAGAATCGACGTCTTGTGGAAGAAGGAGGTGAGTCTCATAAGCTTGTTCCTATCTTCATAACAGTGCCACCGCCTGACGCAGCTTCCATTGGAGTGTCAGTAAGGGATGGAGAGGGAAACCAGGCGTTGTTGACTGCTCGCACTGGCACTTTTATTATGGTATGACCCGCTGAGACATCAAAATTTTACGCTCTTAGTCTGCTAAAATAGTCATTGACGAGTCGAGGATTACAGACCACAGAGGAACCGTCATTTTTATTTTCTCCCATATAAGAAGATCAAATTCTTTTAATTTCGTCCTGAAAATATACAGTGATAAAATACAACCACTTCTGTGTGTGTGTGTGTGTGTGTGTGTGTGTGTGTGTGTGTGTGTGTGTGTGTGTGTGTGTGCCCCCCCACTGGTCTACACTGTATGCTATTCTCAGCGTCATTATACTGCATTTGTCCAGGAATTTCAGTGTTGGTAAAATTTTTGTTACTCTCGTTAACATTAAGTAAAGTTTGATGCAAGTAACTAATTCTTTCCTCCCTCCTTCCCCTTCTCTTCCTCCTCCTCCAGCAAGTAGAGATGATCGTAGACTTATGCTCAGGCGGTAACATCGACGGGCCGCCCACCACCACCCATGACCATCACCCCACCCAACCCATTCCTCCTCCCGACGCCCATACCTGCCATGCCTCCACCAGACTGCCCGGGGCCGCCCATGTCCTCAACACAGGTGGGCCGCTACAGGTGGGCGGAGTCTCCCACCGTCTCCCCGCCCACGCCCCTCCACCACACTTCAAAGGGTGCATCAGGAACCTCAGAGTGAACAGAGAAGTAAAGTCCCCACAATCTTACTGAAAACTCCTTTATAAATATCTTGAATGAGTTAGAATTGTTACAGAAACTTTATATATTTTTTAAGAATTTCTCATAAGATAAAGAAAAATTATATAAGTCTTCTAACGGTATTGGTGTGTTATTTGACTTGACACACTAATGGAAAACTTAACACGGTTTTTTTTTTCTCCTGGGCAAATAATTTTACATCAGGTAGCCTTGCAGTGTATATAATATCTCCGTTCTCTCAGATCCTTGACCTAGGGAAGGATGTACTCAGTCAAGGCAGTTCCCCTGGGTGTCCTGCCGCCGACTGCCTCACTAGCGGCTTGCACTGTGGCCTACACGGAAGGTCAGTACAGGTCAGAGGTCATAGATATATTTGGTAGTTAGGTCTTTTGATCCCCAGTGTTCAATGACTGTAAGTGATATTTCGGATCACCTGAAGATTAACCACCCTACCTAACCTAACCTGACCTAACCTAACATCAATATATTTTAATAAGCTGGGGGTCCTAATCTTCAGGTGATCTCAATAAATACAGCATATATCAATCATTCATAAACCAAAACACGCCCTCGTAACTAATGCACTCCCCACGCCCACGCACGCCCTTCAGTTGCCAGGGGTCGCCAGGGTCACTACGCTGTGAGTGCCAGTTGGGATGGGCGGGTCCTGGGTGTGCCTCCCCCACCACGCCCACCACCTTCCTCCTCAACAGCTATGTCAAGTTGGCCCTCTCCTTCACCCCCCTCGGCTACACCACCTCCATCTCCCTCAGGTAAGATAATTAGCAGACAGGTAATAATTCTCTCTCTCTCTCTCTCTCTCTCTCTCTCTCTCTCTCTCTCTCAGGTACAATCATCACACCTAATCTCTCCTTCCCTATACAGGTTCAAGACGTGGCGAAGGACTGGACAGCTGGTTGTGGTGTCGTCACAGCACGGGCGGGACAGCTGGTCGGTGCAGCTGGTGGGAGGACGCCTTTGTGTGCAGCTGCGCCTTCATCCTCGCCCCCCTGAGGACCTGTGTCTCTCTAGGGCGTCTCTCTCCGACGGCAGGTGGCATTCTCTCGCTGCCACAAGGTATTATTGATTCCTCCTGGCACTGGTACTGGCACTTCCTTATACTACTGGTACTAGCACTTCCTTATACTGGTACTAGCACTTCCTTATACTGGTACTGGTTCTTTCTTGTACTAGCACTGTTTCTTCCTGATACTAGCATTGACTCTTCCTTATACAAACTCTCCCTAATACCTAACTCTTCCTTATACTAACTCTCCCTCCCACATCCTCCTCCTCCTCACATCGGGTTTCGCCTCAAAACTGCAACGATAAAACAAAAGACTAACAAGAGACCGCCTCATCATCATCACCATCATCATCAATCATCATCGTCATCATCATCAATAAGAATAATTAAAGCCTTCAAGCTTAAGTCCACAGCTATAAAAGAGAGCTACAAGCTTACATAAAGAGCGCGGGGCTAAACAGAATGTGTAACTAGGCAATAGAAGGATGTGTGTACGGTGCAATTTAGCAAACAGAGTGAAAGGTCTAGTGTTCTGTCGAGGTTTAATTCCGTGTTTCGTGCAAGTTGATGTTTCTTTATTCGTTTGTATTAATTTTATTGGTTGCGTGGTGTTTGTTGTGTGTGTGTGTGTGTGTGTGTGTTTGCTAGCAGGTAAAGTGTGATTGTCATTTGTTCTTCATTTTTGGTTTTGCATCCTATCGCCCATTTTGTGTACTGTATCTTCTTATTCTCTCTCTTGTTGTGTTTATTTCCTGTTATTATTCTTTTTTCTTATTATTCCTTCTTGTTATTGGTATATCTGTTTCTTATTTATCAGTATTTATCTTTATGACTCCAGTGTCTTGGCATTTAACTCATCAAATTACTTCACATCGACCACAGTACATTTTTTTTACCAGGTGTATTCTGACAGGTACGGGACGGCTACCTTCCTCACGGCTGATGACGGGGACGAGGATCTCTATAACGCCTCACTAGCGCTGGGGGGTCCACATAACCTGCTGGAAGTGGATAAACAAGAGGGCGTCCATGTAGGAGGGACGCCAGAGTTTATGGACGTCAGCGTGTTCAAGATCCACAGGGATTACTATGATGGTGGGTGCGATGGGTCGTGTAGTGGGTAGGTTGAGGCCGGTGGAGAGAGAGAGAGAGAGAGAGAGAGAGAGAGAGAGAGAGAGAGAGGAGGAAGAGTATAGGGAGAAAGAAAAAGAATTGGAGGAAGAAAAGAGAGAGAGAAAGAAATAAACAGAGAGAATTGGAAGAAAGACAGTGAAATGAGGGAGAGACAGATTAAGAAAAAAATAAACAGATTAAGGGTTAATAGTAAATGAAGGGAAATAAAGATAAATAAGGGAATAATGACACAGTTAACAGACACAGCTCAACGTGATACACCTTCAGGATGTATCGACGACCTGAGGATCTCCGGGCGAAGGGTTCCTCTACCTCCTGCGGTCAACAGCACGGCGTGGGGCCAGGCCAGCGTGTTCAGGGGCGTGGAGCGTGGATGTAGCGCCCCTCCTACCTGCACCAACGTATCCTGCAGGACACCCCTCTCCTGCGTCGACACCTGGAGATCTTACCACTGCGGGTGTGTATCTATAGGCTGTGGTGTCCTGTCTCCGAAATCCTTGACTCGATTTACCTGAAGATTAGACACCCTAACGCTACGTGAGGGGATTAAATTAGGTTAAGTTAGATTAGGTTAGGTTGGGTTAAGTTAGGCTAGGTTAGGTTAGGTTAGTTTTTCTTTTGGTGTGAGTTGTGATTGAGTTAGATTGCATTGATATGAGTCTTATAGGGAAACGGAATCATTATTATACATAAAAGCAACAATGACTTTGTGTAGTTTGTCAACACTGGTAATCAACAACGCCTGGTATTTGCCCTCCTAACCTAACCTAACCTAACCTAACCTAACCTAACCTAACCTAACCTAACATAACCTAACCTTTGCTCCTGGTACTGCGATAAGTTGGTCAATTTAATGGCGGGTCGAAAGGTTAAATCACGTTAAATTGCTTCCTGTAGTAGAGACGGCAGGATATAGAGAGTACCATTATTAACAGATGAAAGTGGTTCTCAGAGTCCAGTTCAGTTTAGTTACAGTTCTGTTCAGTCGAGTTCTGTTCAGTTTAGTACAGTCCAGTTTAGTTCAGTCCAGTTCAGTTCTGTATAGTTCAGTCCAGTTCAGTTTATTTCAGTCGAGTTCAGTTCAGTTTAGTTCAGTCTAGTTCATTTCAGTCCAGTTCAGTTTAGTTTAGTTTTGTTTAGTTCAGTTCAGTTCAGTTCAGTCGAGTTACAGTTCAGTTTAGTCCAGTTCAGTTTAGTTCAGTCCAGTTCAATCTAGTTCAGTCCATTTCAGTTTATTTCAATCGAGTTCAGTTCAGTTTAGTTCAGTCTAGTTCATTTCAGTCCAGTTCAGTTCAGTTCAGTCGAGTTACAGTTCAGTTTAGTCGAGTTCTGTTCAGTCGAGTTCTGTTCAGTTTAATCCAGTCCAGTTCAGTTTAGTTCAGTCCAGTTCAATCTAGTTCAGTCCAGTTCAGTTTATTTCAATCGAGTTCAGTTCAGTTTAGTTCAGTCTTGTTCATTTCAGTCCAGTTCAGTTTAGTTCAGTTCAGTTCAGTCGAGTTCAGTTCAGTCGAGTTTGTCTATTTCAGTCTAGTTCAGTTCAGTCCAGTTCAGTCCAATTCAGTTCAGTCCAGTGGTCCGCCGCCTCTGCTCATGTACAGTATATTTGATAAGTGTTGTTGTCTGCTGGAACGATAACCAGGTCGTCTTGTTCCGAGTTAATTTGTGCTGTCTGTGTGTTTGTCTGTTCGTTTGTCTGTGTTTGTGTGTGTGTGTGTCTGTGCGTTTGTGTGTCTGGTTATCTGTTTGTCTGTCTGTCTGTCTGTCTGTCTGTCTAAGTAGAGAAGATATTTATAATATTTCTGTATACATTATTCTGTAGTTTAATATCAAGTTAGTAGCATTTTTCTATAACCTGTTCTGTATTTCATATCAAGAATACATAATCATAGTGTTGGGTACAGGTGTGGCGAGGGACGTGTTTTGAGCAGCAGCCAGACGACGTGTGAAGACGAGGATGAGTGTGTGTGGCGACCCTGTCTTAACGGTGGCTCCTGTTTCAATGCCCAGCCAGGTAATACAACAGGGTACAGTGTTATAGTAGGGTACAGTGCTATAGCGAGGTACAGTGCTATAGTAGGGTACAGTGCTATAGTAGGGTACAGTGTTACAGCTACGAGTTGGTTTTTCCCTTTACTTTTATCCTCTGGTTCTCTTATTTATGCTCCATGATATTATACTTATACTCTTATTTTATCTTACACGCATTGAATTCCCAATAAAATAAATAAAAAGTACTTTGCAAATTATCTGATTATTATAAAAGTTTACCAAATTAAATCGTTTTCTGTTATTCCAATATTTACGTCCGTTTTCTATGGCAGGGTATGTGTGCGTGTGTCCGGTAGGGTACAGCGGGAAACACTGTCATCTGCCCGATTTGGAAGATACCTCGCTAAAACTCCCTCTTGGTATTCTTGTGACGCTTGTAGTGTTCTGTACTTTCCTCTTCCGTAAGTATACGTCTACATTAACCTGTGTATACATATTTTATGATGTCGGTAATAAAGTGGGGTGACCTCTGTCTGGTCTTGTGTCGGCCGTTACAGTAGTCAAGTCTCGGGCTGAGGCAGAACATTAGCAGACTGCGACCTGCATCTCTTCCTTGTGTTTCTGAATATTTGTTTCTTATTTGAATAAAGATCATCATCAAACCAAAGATAATACATTAAGATTGCTTTCTTTAATATCACCATCGGTAAACTTTCAAAATTTCGTTAATACAAAAATTATTCCATCGATTCTTGTAAATCAAAATAACCCTTACTTGTAATAACCATTTGACAAGTGGACAAAATGACGTTTTATAACTTCAAGTTTCGTGAGTTTATTGGTCAAAAAACACTCAGTATCTGCCATAATTAAACACTGTAATACACTACAATACATTACAACTGTGACCCTTCTACCTACAGTGTTGATCTGCGCCTTCTTGCTGCACCAACATCATCGACGGTCAGCCTTACGTCGGGGCGCTCCTGACAACAAGACCAACACCCCATGTAAGGAACAAGTGTCGCCCCCCTGTAACCACACACCCAACCTACTGGAGTTACAGGTGCTCAAGCCCCCTGGAGCCAACGGCGAGCCACCCTGGACTAAGAACCCTAATATAGCAAGTGTGTGTTACTCTCTACGTACCTCTTACAGTCACGAAATAATGGTGTAGGGAAATTATAAGAAGCTGTACAGGGAAAAAAATTAAATGGTAGGTAAAAATATGCCACATACAGTTCCTTATATTTGCCCCGTCCTTTAAACAGAGGTGCAGTATACGTACCGTCCCTTAAACAGAGGTACAGTATATGTCCTTTAAACAAGACCTAACATATACCTCCACTTTGTCCCCAGATGTGGACGTCCTCCGGGTGCAGGTGTCCTCACTACCCACCAGCCTGGAGGACCACAGTCAGAGGGACGTCCTGGGCACAGGTTCATCACACCAGCGAGGACAGTGTTGCCAGGGCGAGACATCAAGCCCTAGAGATGTCGGGGAGAAGGGAGGAGGTGCCGTCGCTGGTGACCCAACAGCTAAATCACACATGAGGAGGTACTCTCATGAAGGTAAAGGATCAATGGATACAGTTTTTTATATATCTATCTATCTATCTATCTATCTAATTTCTATACTGTTTCTTGTTTCCTTGGCAGGTCTTAGCGGGACCCGTGACGTGGATTCCTGACACCTCATTGGTCCATTCTACAGCCAATTGACACTGATGGCAGAGGCAAAGACGACGGTCACCACAAAGCATGGAGCAGATCCTCCACCTGTCTCAACCACTCAATCTACTAGCGTGAATACCATTTCCAAAAGAGCATCTGATCCCTTGTCTTGATAATCATTAAAGTAATAATAATAACACCATCTTTTAACTTTAAGACAACGCTCGTGAAGAAACTTGATGTGATCCACTGCCAGGCGATAGATGTGATTGGTCTATAGGATGATGAAAACCGACTGACGTATGGTATGTTTACGGTGATTGGTCCAGAGGGTGAAGCATAGTACAGTATACATTTACGGTGATTGGTCTGTAAGATGATGATGCTCGATTTATCTATGGGACGTATGCGGTGATTGGTCCAGAGGTTAGTGACACTCTAAATATTATTTGTTTCACCTCTCTGTCCCAGCCAATCAGTGAAAGAATAACATCATCGGTACAGTATAGCTACAGAGGTGTGGCAATACAGTATATGTAATTTGACTTATTTTTTCTTAACTATCGCTATGAAAACAAATTACAGTCGATCTTTATAAATTATGCCATTTACTAGTCTTTCTACATTCTTTAATTTTCATGGCAGTTTCTTTGTGTTTTGGACTCAGTTTACATTGTAATAGTGTAGGAAACTTTCTTTTATATGCCAGACATTGTAGAAATATTTATTTTATTCATTTATCTGTTATCTGTGTACAGTATTTGAGTAATTTTATCTGAAATGTTGTCTTTTTTTACGGGAGGCTCTTCGATGTTATGTGTTCATTGTATATTTATCAGATAAGACAATAAAAACATCTCATTTGGGTGTGTTAAATATGTATAATATTGATATGGAATTAAAAGATATTTATTTATTTTGTTTTCATTCGCTCTCAACCTATGGTGATATCGTCCACTCGTGATATCCTCCACTCGTGATATCCTCCACTAGTGATATCCTACAATGGTGATATCCAGGTAGTAGGTAGTAGGCAGCTACCAAACAGGGAGGTACTACCGCCTGGGAATATATTGGAAGCATAATGTATTGTCTAATGGTAGACCCTGCTGCCATATGTGACCAAGTCCCAGGTTGCTGATCTGACTTTCTGTCTCATTTACACACAATTGCAGGGTCTCAATTGTTTCTCTTACTTGACAACACAATATTCATATATTGTTTCACACTATTGATCCTAAAATTATTACGAATATCAGACGTAAACAATTGAAACAATAAGAACTACAAAAGAGGACAAATGATATAATAAAGAACAGCACAAGGTAATTAAGGAATAAGTGATAAAAGGGAGAGAAGTGGAAGAACCGAAGAATATTACAAGGAAATGCTAACATGACAAGAAGTATTAAAAGAACAAGGAAATTAAGTTGGGAATGACTTACGGGAGCAATGATAATAGGAATAAATAAGATGAATGAATACAAGAACAGATATAAAACAAAAAGAAAGATATAACTACAGTAAATTTAAATAAGCTAATTATAAAACTAATCAATGGATGAAGAAAATATGACCTAAAAGTTTGAATAGGTTTGTAGCTCACTGGAATTGTTTACCTCAGGGCTACGGATGTAAAAAAAATATAATACTTTGAATTTAAAAAGAGTATATAAAACAGCCATAAAACAATAGAATAAATCAAATATTTAATATAATTGAAATACATCTTAGATAATTAGTTTTTATATAATTGTAATAAGTATTCAATTATATTTTAGGTTGTAGTCTCTTTAAATTTGTACAAGAGAAGACGTCGTCCGAGATTCAAAACAAGATCCTCGGCTGAAGTGTTTATGCTTTATTAATTCATTATTCAAGATGTCTGAGGTGCCAGTTGGACTTAAAATAGACCAGGGAGATGGAGCGAGATTCAGGGCGTTAAAAAATTCCCTAAACTACACCGTTGAAAGGTTATTAGCTGGCTGGAAGTCCTCGTCCTTCGCCAAGTGAGTCTCTTTACCTCTAGTAGATTTAAAAGTTTTTGTGTATTTAATTTTGTGAGATTTAATAAGGTGTTTGTTTATTTATTTTGTGTTTGGGGTAATAGTGAAGGAGAAGGCTAACACTTGGAAGTTTTTTATTTGATTTATTTTTTTCACTGTTGTTTGGATGAAAAGCAATAAAAGGTACAATAGTTATTCCTGTAATTAATACGTTTTCAGATATTCAAACTATGTGATTTCCGACAGATATAAAGATCCGAGTTGTTCAAAACCCATAAAAAAACCATCGGAAAACATAATTTGGATATCTAACCTAACCTAACCTAATCTAATTCCTAAGATTTCCCGAATGACTGAAACTAGAATAATACCCTGTAACTTTAAGATTTTTTATTTTATTTTTCTTTATGATCATTAATAACCTGTAGTGGGCAGGGCATGAAAGAATTGGGGTAAAACACGGCAAAAAAAATTATTATATGGCATTAGTTTTGATATTATTTTTCTTTCGGACAACACCGGAATCTTGGCAATTTTATCTTAACAATCAATAGTTTAAACAATTCTAAGACACTTTTCTTCTCCAACATTTCTCTCACAAATGACTTATACTGTAAATGTCAGGGGGGTCCAGGTGGCGGAGCCTCCGGTTAGGTTAAGTCATTTGCGAGAGAAATGGCATAAAAGAAAAGTACTTTGTTTATGAAGAATTTATTTATTTACTGTAAATATTCTTCCGATAATTCTCCAGTGGCACTACATGTTTACAAGTGCTGTTAAACTAATAAATTTGGTATTATTTTACAAGCTGTCTCTCAAAGGATGTTTGCAAATGTAAGTGAGATCTATTTTTTATTTATTTATCATAAATACTCCTCAAACAAATCTGCCGAGTCGCCATGTTTGTGTACAACTGACCCGCTCGGTCCAAGAGTACTGTCAGGTCCACAAAAAACGTAAAATTACACAATGAAACTTCAACAACGTTGCTTTCATTGGCAGCAGATAACAGAATAAGTACCAAGTATTTTCTGTTTAATATGGCGGGGAAGGGGGCCTGGGATCGGAGCCCCCGGCTAGGAAGTTAGGTAAGGTTCGGTAGGTTTCTTTGGTTGGCTAAGTTCATTATTACTCATTTTCAACAAAAGTGTACAGAATGAAAGTTACTCAAAATGATGGTACATATATGTATTGCATGCATTAAAAACCTTAAAATTGCTTAGACTCTAATTGTAAAAATTTACCATAAATTTTTAATCTGGTCTTGATTAACTTCTAAATAAACGATGGAGCCTCACATCAGTATGTTCGTATACTTATTGTTTTTCCTCAAGGACTGTGGAAGAAGAAAGCTGTCTTGTTTTTCAGTGGCATTGTTATTGGGTCGTGTACCGTGTTGTATCACAAGTTTATCTGTGCTTGTAGAGGATGAACACCATTTCCAAGGGATCATCTGTCAACCTGTTCTCCACCTTTACCAAAATTTGTTTTTTATGTTTTTCTTGGTGATTTAAAAGAATATAACCTTTATTCTGTCACCAAGTGGGCAGGGCTTTGAGGACAAGGGAAAATTGTTGGGTAAAAACAATCAATTTTTACATGTTTTTACCCCACAATTTCCCTCATCTTTAAAGCCCTGGGATGGTTAGGTAGATTAAGTTGGCTCATTTTATCACCAGTAAATCATATAGTAATAGGGCAGGATCTGGTAAGCTTTTCTAAGTATTCCTGTGAATCAAACAAAACATCTCGGTTATAAACGGTGGATGGATTGTCTAGCCCACCAGCCTAGAATAATGTTCAGAACAGGGAAAAAAGAATATAATGTATATATGTTATTGAAAACTTATTGCTTCCCCTTTGGAGGATTTTTCATGAGGTGAGGAAACATTTATCTTCAATAGACAAATTTCCTGAAGTTGCCGGGTACTGTCAGTCAATATTACCGTAACTTCTTTTTTATTCTTTTAATTGCTGGAGTTCCAAAGGTGCACAAACAGTGGTATAGGAGGATAGCGTTTGATTGGTAGTGTTGACGTGACTTTTGTTCCAGATCTCAATATAATTACTCCCCCAATATGGTGATTAAGATCTGGTGTCAGAAAGTTGTAATTGTTGTAGCTACAGTTATCATTTTTGTTAATGATCCAGGACAAACTTTTGACACATTTACCATCAGTAATTAGTGCCTTCCTGTACAAGTATTATCTCTTATTGATTGGCAAAAAATCATTGTTGATGTGTTAATTATTTCAATATTTCAAAAGTTTTGCATAAAATTTAATGTCAGTGGTGTAAGTTTGTTCTGTACCTTATATAAATTTGTCATCATTTATCCACACTGTAATATGAGCATTTTTGTGGTGGCTATGTATCCAAATTTTGAAATATACTGTTCTTTACATTGACTTGTGTATAATAAAATACTGTAGCTAACTTACAAACTAAATACAAATACAGTACTGTAGTGATCACTGTTATTAGTTGATCTTCATAATGTATCCCTCAGGTGTTTTCCAACTCTTGCAAGAGAAAATGACGCAATTATGGAAGCCATTCGTGTTTCATTGGTGGAGACAGTGCGCAAGGCCATATATGATGACCTCGTTGCAATCATAGATGAAGACGTTGCAGGCCCTTTGGAAGAGCTTGGTACACTCATTAAGAACTACACTGGACCTAAGGACATAGAAGCATGGAGACCATCGGGTGATCCTACAAAGGATATGATGGCACATGATGCAAAGGTACTGTGTGTTGCGTGAGGGCCCAGGAACACTTAAGTCTTAGAGTGTTCAGTATTTGATTACCTAATTTTACATGGCACTACAAAATATCTACTGTACCTGTAGCTACTGGTTATCCATTTTCCCAGTACTGTAGACTGCACTGTATTCAGGTACAGATGGTGGAAAAACTTAAATTCACAGTTACTAAAAAACTAGCCATTGAATCGTTTTATTTTAAAGTGGCCATCTTACCATCGTGTCTATCTTATATAAATCAAAATGTTCTCTCTTGGTCTCCTTTAAATATTGGCTACTTTAGCTTATCAATATCCTTTCTTTATGCCTTTTTTGCTGATTTTTTCAGTTACTTCAACTTTGCTCTCTATCTCTTCACTAGAATGATAATTATCTATGGTTGTTTAGGTAACGTGTGGGCACTTGTTTTGACCTGTGGAACTGTGAGAACCAAACCACAAAGCCTCCTCTGGCAGTGGACCACTACAAACTATTGGTGATAAATAGAATTACAAATACTTCAGTCTACTATTTTTCTTTTTTTTATAGGTTCTACAGCATGAAAAACAGCGCCTTCTTGAATCTGTGGGAAATGCCAAGAAAATTTCAGAGGCTGTGTTGCAGAAGGTCAAGTCCGGTCGCAAAAAGTGTCACAACAACCATGTGTATGTCAGAATGTGTTTATTGTTTTCTTTAAGTTTATGTTATATAATAATTATTTGAATCGACTTTATTTCTTGCTACTGTACTGTTAAAATTAGTTATGGTAAATAATTATGTCATTGAGATTAGTTGTCATGCAAAAGTATTCAGTCTAATGGTGTTTATTTTTTAGTTATTTTTTTTTTTTTCACTCGCATTAATTTATTGAAATTACTGTACCTGTAGTTTACTTTTTCATAAGTTCCGGACTGTACGTGTTAGGACGGGGTTACATATGAACTACAAATCTTAAAATGTCACTTATCACCTACAATAATTTCCGTATTTTGACGAGTATAAGTCACACTTTTTTATGGAGATGTCTAGACTTTATATTCTGCCACACACAATATACCCCTACACCCTTATTTTATACCTTTATATTATAGCGTACAGTAATTTTTTTATTCAGAAGACACATTAGCACATTGAAATTACTTCTCCGCAAATTCTGTGATTATGTAACACAACAGTGGCAGTATAGCTCAGTTGTGTGAGAGGTAACTGACATATTTTAGTGTGGTAAAAACTTGACACTTATATTATGTTCTTTTAACACTATTTATGCTTCATATTCAAGTACCGTACACACAGACTTAGTGTGAAAATGTGGATGATGCAGATGATACACTGTATAGTATGTGAAACAATTGATGTACAGTCTTCTGAAAATTTCTTCTTATATTTGTTAGTGATGTATATATGAAATGCTGTACAGTATATTAATACAACATATCGCGAGGACCCCCTGTACACCATCTACACACTATCCTACAGTAGGTGTACACTGTCCACTGCTATGTACGGTGCAGTATACATAAATGTAATAACATTTTTGAATGTGAAAACAGCAGTGAGTTAGCACACCACACAATTTTATACAATGGCAGCAGACATGAACTAAGAGTGTCATGATGTAAGAGCCTCAAGAGATAGGCTGCGAGATACGTCAGCCAGCCATGGGCATCCCATGCAGTCACAGTACAGTAGTACCCAATTGTAGCTCATTAGAGTTCTGAGCCTACTCACCCATGTGCTGAGGCGCATGATGTAATCTTTTGGAAATTTGTTCGAATGCCCGGAACGAAGAGATTTTTCCTAGAATTCCTTGGAATGATTAAAAAAAATTGTGTAATGGATAGTTCCAGGAATCGAAGATTCCGCCTAATGGATACAGGTGGATTTTCATACCACGAATCGATAAACATATGGGAAAAATATGGTTTGGTTCCCCAGTGACAAAATTACCCCAATATCATACCCCAAAAACACGAAATCAGTGTACACACAAGACCAAACCAACCTAACTGATGATAAATAGTAAATAACTGCAGTACTGTAATTTAGTGCCTAACACATGAAATTACTACCAAGCACATGAAAAAAAATATAAAAATAGTACTGTTAAACTTACCTTATGGGAGGGCAGTCTGGGCTGACCACCACAAGGGGTCAGTCTGAGTAAGGCCCTTACTCAGTGAGATGAGGAGGGTTGTCCACCTCATCACTGACGTCTGCCAAGGACACCACAGTCACACCAGAGGTGAAAGAAGTGCAAGAAAATTGTGGCCACAATAGAAGCAGCCGGACCAAGATCTTTTCCAATCTTGGTAGGGCCATCACCTCATTCATGACATTTAATTACTTCCAGCTTTGTCTTGAGAGTCATAACCTTTCGGGCTGTCTTTTGTATAGTATTGGTAGTCAAAAATTCAGCAGAACGCTTGAATGCTGTCATGAAAGTTGTAACAAAAGGATGTCACGAATACTCACAGATAAAGAGAGATCACTTCACACACAACAAATGGCAGATGGAAGGACGCAGGCTTGTGGTAGATGCAGGAGGGAAGGGGTGGATGTGATCAGTGAGCGAGAATACGTCTCTGTGCATCTCTACCCAAGATGGTCACACCAGCTGACTCCCAGCCTGGCTCTAAATTCATTTAAGGGAGGGAAGCTTTCATTTCTTGAAATAGTGGTGTCAATTTAGAACATTCATTTACAGTAGGTGAATTTTTGCATCTGAAACATTTGTATTTGGAGGATACCTGTAGTGTGTTACTGTAGTGTGTGTCACTTCATATACAGTACAGTACTTGCATGCAGTATATTAACAAAATATGTCTTATGCATTATTTTAAGCACACTCCAATATTTCGAGATTGATTAGAATTTTCTTTAATTCTAATAATAATTCAACACTAACCGTCTTCTTTCTTTACAGGGAGATCCAGAAGCGTTTAACAGTCTTGAACGAGCTGGAAACTGTGTCCCGTGGACTGTCCAAAGAGAATATGGCCTCTGCATCCCATGATATATTCTCTAATAATGTGTCTGAAGTATCTGCGGAGGAAAGAGAATCTTCCAGCAACTCTTTGTGATATGAATCTTACACCTGAATGAGTATTTTTGTAGACTTCAGAATTTCATCAGCCTTCTCATTTTTTATGGCTATAGCTAAATTGTTACCTCCATTTCAAGGTGATCTGTGCCTTTTCCCAGTAATTGAAACACATAAAAATATAAGAGAGTTTGCTGAAGGTCTTTTTCATCAGTGACACCCTGTACTGTATATACAATCATAAATCATGTACAGTAGTGAAATATTTCCAGTTTTCTGTTGTCATAAAACTTGAATCATAATGGTTATGTCCCCTGCACCCTATTACTTAAGACAAGGAGGTATTTTCATTGTTATCTCTTATGTAGTAAAGTCCTGGGGGTCTAGGCCACCCTTTTTCTAAAGAACATTTTTGTGTATTAAAAAGTAATTACTATTGACCTCAGAATATCTCCTAATATCAATTGCTCATGCCTTCAAAATGACCTTGACATTGGTTATATTAAAAAAAATTTGGGGGAGCTCTAAAAAACCCTTGATATTGACATTGAAACAGTTTATTTAGCCAGAAAAATACAGATACAGAGTGAACCAATTGTGAGCCTGAACTCTCCTAGTGGCACCGGGGTTGCAGATAACTTTTTAAATTGAGTTCCCTGAGCTTTAAGAATAATGTTAATGTGGGATAACTGTACGTCTGTCATGGCTCAGTGGTAATATAATTTTTAGCCCTTGTCAGCTTACTAGCTGTTCGGGGAGTTGGTCTATCCAATGTTAATACATGAGGAAACCGCGAACCAGGAAACCTGCCGTGTTTGGTAGTGAAGGTCACACTGTATAACTCCCTCCTCACGTGTGTCCGCCGAGGCTCAAACCTTTGATATATTGGTGAGAGATACGCGTGTTACTGCTGTACTACCAACCCCCATTATATGTTTTTATTATAAGGATTGATAAAGACAGCCCAGGAACGTTTTAGAGTGAAGGACTGTGGTCACCAATCATCAGATATCGGGAGCGGATCCAGGAATATCAAATATCAAAAGGGAGGTCCAAGAAGTTGTGGATGAGGCGAGCCCATCCACCTGGGGGGGTTTTGGGAGGGGCACTGTAAGCCCCCAGACCATTTTAAAGCCATGTGCACTTGATACTAGGAGATATTCTGAGGTCAATAGTACAGTGATCCCTCGGTTAATGAAATTTCGGTTCACGAATTACCTTCCATAAGATTCTTCACTTCTGTTAACAAATTCCTTAAAAAATTTTCTCAACATGTTTTCGCCTGCTCACCAGCTGTAGTATTAGTCCGCCAATACCGTAATCGGTTTTAGGGCTTAAATTCGTTACCATTTGAGTAAATATCAAGAAGGTTGTACTATTCAATAATTTTCCAAGTCATATATTAAAGTTTTTAGTCATTTTAACAATTATTTAATGTAATTGAAGTACAGGGAACTAGTTTTTAGCGCGCCAAACAGCCACTTGACTCACCCAAAATGGCGTCAGTGTGTGTCCCTGCTCAGTGGAGGAAGCATCTTGCTTGAGACTCTCTTGAACATAAACTATTTTTACAGTACAATTATTGGTCATTCTGAAGTTTATTTTACATATTGACAATATATAATGCAATGCAGTGTTGATTTAAAGAAAATAATCTTGAATTACACCAAGAGAGCTAAAATTTTATGGTGAAATGGCGATATGAAGCATGGGGTGACTTCTCTTCCACCCTAATGCATTCTCTTCTCCACCACCCCCATTCTAATTCCCATCATCATCAACCAGGAGCCTTCTACATACACACCTCAAAGTAAGTGTTCTTTACTGCATTTATTTTTAGTTTGTATGTAATTTTCGGTGAGCTGGAACCAATTTCCCAAAATCCCATTGAAACAATCGTATTCGTTAACCGAGGGACCACTGTAATTACTTTTTACTATACAAAATGCCTGAGTACAATACTGCAGTAAAGAAAAAGTACTGGAATGTTCTGATGAAAGGGTGGGGTCCGTACGTCCACTTGGATATGAGGACATTATTCTGATGACTAATTATAAAGGAAACATCAACATGGAATAATAAACCAAGACATAAATGAGTGTTGTGTTGATTCTTTAATATGAGTTTTATTATATACAGCATGCGGTTTATTTATTAACAGCTTTTAGAGGTACAGTATTAGAATATTGAAAAAGACATTGAGTACTTAGAGGCTTTATTAATACATTATACACTTAAGTCCTCATTATATGCAAATTCTCTCATACACGAAGACCCTATTCTTACCAGGAATTCAATTAATGTGAGCAAAATTTAGCCTTGTATGAGTTGTCATACTCTCTGATGACCCTGCAGATGTCCCTCCAACACCATCACCATCACCATCATCCTGTATACCCAAGCTGAAGTATCTGTCTTTATTGTTAAGTACACTATACTGTACACTTGTTTTATCTATTATTTTAAAAATAATAATATTGTATTGATTTGTTTTATGGTTTATTTGTTTTGAAAATTGGTCTGGAACGTTTTCATTTTGGGTTATGGAACAACGTCCTATTTTTACCGATTTAACTAAGTATTCGATTTATGCGAGGGTTTTCAGGAATGCATCCCTCGCATATATCGAGGACTTACTATTATGAAAACAAGAGAAACAATGTTTGCAATACAGTACCATACAGTAGAGTACACATCAGGGTACTTTGTTGTATTGTACTGTATTGCATATAATAAACTTGTATCTGTACTTCATACTCAAATGATCAGGGTATGAACATCTACTACAAAACAACCTTGTAAAGGATTGCCAACACAGTTTAATGCCGGGATACTCCTGTTTAACACAATTACTCAAAGTACTGAATGTTAGGACCCAAATTCTGGAAGAAGGTGGCTATATCGACAATATATACCTAGATTTTGCCAAGGCTGAAAATTAACTGGAAGGGTACATAATTCAGGGAAGTGTCCTAGTGTGGATCGGAGACTCTGTATGATCGTAAGCAGTGTGTGGTGATAAATACCACAAAATCGTCATGTGTACCTGTGACAGGTGGGGTGCCACAGGGCAGTGTATTGGGTTCTTTGTTATTTGTTTGTTTCATAAATGACATGCCAGAAGCTGTACACTCCTCCATACAGATGCTTGTGGATGATGCCAAGTTATTTAGGGAAAATAAGAACCAGACAGACTGTGAAGAGCTGCAAGATGATCTCTGTGAGCTTCAAGAATGATCGAAGAAATGGCTGTAAAGATTCAATGTCGCCAAGTGTAAGAGTCTGCACCTGGTACAGTCTCATTCAAGATTCTTCCGATCATCGGATCTCCGGGGTAGCAACGAAAATTGCTGGTTATTTCCCCTAAACAGTATGTGATCGTTGGTTTTGGTGGTATACCTGTACTTAGAATGGTTAGTACTAACACTGGGCAAAAGAGATCATAACAAAGAACAGACCAACTGCCCGATCAGCAAGTTAGCTGATACAGCATTATTATTTTGCTACTGTAGTGAAATAATAATGATGATAAAACAAAATAAATAAACACTGGCTAAGAATGTTCTTGTCTTCATGATCTGCTGACTGCTAAAAACATAAGCCAACACACAAGTACACAGAGGTGATGTACAGTTTCCTTCTGAGGTTCTTCAGTTCCTGTAGCTTATTTTAGCCATACTGTTCTTCTTCTATCTCTTCTTTAATAGTTACATCTTCTCCTTGAGCACACTGAAGTGCTTCTGAATGTTGTAGTGCTTGCTGAAAATGTATGTAGTATAAACATAAAACAAGTAGTGGTATGTTCAATAGACACTGTCCCCCACCTCCCCATATTATAAACAAAATGAGCCTAAAAAAAAAAAAGGAGAGAAGTTGCTTCCCACTAAACCTATGACCAGAACTTTACCCATAAAGGCTAATGTGTTGACATCAATCAAACCTAAAAAAAGTTCATTTACAGGAGTCGCAATTTTCTCTCTCACAGAAAAGAAACCTGAGGTGATCAACCCAGGGTTCCTCGCACCTGTATGCTACACAATAAATATGGGTTTCATAATTTTTCTGCAAACTTCATGAATAAACGATACTCAATACTGTACATGTCTATATAAAGGGATTAGTAACTGGATTCATTTCTGGTGAACCTTTTTCAGTACTGTACAGTACTTCGTATTGCAGTATTCTCAGATAAACACAATGGCTCTCGGTGCTTACTCACATAACAGTATAGGGTGGGTATCCCTTATCCGAAATTCCCAAAATCGAAATGCTCTGAAACCCGAAAGTTTTTTCGAGTGATACTCGGCAAAAAAACGAAAAATCACACTCCTGATCTACCTGTATGACTCCTGAAATAATCCACTTAAATAAAGTCACTTATTTATAAGAACAATTCGTCTCTAACAATACCCACGGCAGAATTAGTAGACATAACCTGTAATATTTGGTTATTTGATCACTAACATGACATATGACAGGTAGGCAAACAGTTCAGTGAATGGAGTGGACTATTTACTGGAATTTGTTCTTAAAAGTTTGAGTATTTACCTATTATACAGTACATCATTAATTTACGGTAATATTGATGCCAAAATAACAATACTGTATACTGTAGCTTTATATGACTGATAAGGAAACTATGGTACAGTGCTACCTTCTTTGTGGCTCAATTAAACAACTATGAAAAAACAAAACAAAAAAACTGTCTTAACTCACATGACACATATATGTTGAGCAGCTGTTATTTTCACTGGAGGAGAGGTACTTCTCTTGACAACATAATGTCCCATTACTGGTACCAATGGAGATTGTGACATTCTGTGGCTCTGCAAGAAGTGTTGGAAGAGTTTAAATATACATACAGTACTGTATATCAGTGTTCCCCAACCCTGTGACCCAAACCATCTACTAGTGTGACCCGACAGACCACTGTGACCAGGTGCTGTGACCCAGGAGCAACTGTGACCGCCATTGTGACCCACAAAAATCAGTGAACAAATCAATCTTGCTATATCCTGTGCATGCAAAAGGAGTGGGTTGCTAAGCTTTCTTACTTGTGTGATATAATCACCAAGCTCAATGTGTTGAACCTCTCCCTTCAAGAGCCAGGTCAAGATGTGTTCACTTCCAATGACAAAATTGAGGCATTCAAATTGAAAATTTCAGGGTGGAAGAAAAGACTTTTCAGACTTAGATGAGCTTGGGCAAGTGATTGTAGAGTCCAAGGATGAAGTAATTGACGACAAAATGATGAAAGTTGTGTCCCAACATCTCCCGTTCTCCAGCAGAATTTTAACCACTGTTTTCCTCCTGCAATTGAGGAAGAAAAGAAGAATAGTTGGATAACAAACCCGTTCCTTATCTCAAACTTGAACGACAGCAATCTGCCTACTCAAGAAAAAGACACACTGATCAAACTCCATTGTGACTCAGAAATTAAGGACTTTTTCAACAGCTGCAACAGCACTGACTTTTAAGTAGCAGTGAGCTAGAAAGAAGCATTGGAGATGATTGTTGGTAAAAGCACTCCAAGTTCTGGTGGCATTCCACACTACTTAATCCTCTGACAGAGGGTTCTCAGATCTGCTCACCACCAAGAGCAAAAAAAGGCAGAGGCTCGGAGAGACAATGTTGTCTGCGTGCACGAGAGTGGCAGCGACAAGAAATATTGCCCCACAATTCAACTTGCTTGCCGCAACTATCCAGCAACAAAAATTACACTGAAAGTATCCAATGCCATATGTGGGATTATTTTTTGATAATGTTTTAGTAACCCAGCACCAAGTGAACATAAACAATATGGGAATCACGGGTGAATTGCATACTATTGGTATAAAGAGATCACAGGTGGTGGTGAGTTGCCCTACCTCCCTCCCTCCTCCACCTACTCTCTACGGCACTTGACATGAGGAGATATTCTGAGTAATTAGTTTTTACTATGCAAAAAAACCGTCTTCCAGCCTTACAGGTTTGCCAAATAGAGCAAACATGTGGGAGAGCTACTCTCCATCTCTTGCGGACTGGGTCGGAGTGAAGGTGCCACTAGCCAGCTCTCAAGGCTAGCAGCTCGAGAGAACCCTTTACAGTAGTCTCATCCCTCCCTGATGAACGTTTCAGTATGGGAAGCCTTTTCCTCCTTGAGGAGAAAGGGGGGGACCAGCAACCCCCCCCCCCTTGTGGGTCACCAGATCTACAGGACCTCAAGCCCCCCACTACTACACGGCAGTTCCCACTAGGGGGTGGATGGTGTGTTAATACTGTAATTTTATTTATGTCATTCTGCTGCATTTTTCAGAGGGACATGATACCCTTAATGACAAGTGCCCAAGGACAACAGATCAGAGTGAGTGCAATGCCTCAGTCAAACATGTACTGTATTGTATATAAAAGATACAATCTCTAGTTGCTCCACACCTTGACAATGGTTCAAAGAAAGATAATTAAGAAAGATCTGTAAGCACAGTTAATAAAACAGTTATGTACCAACAAGAGACTGGAAAACTTATCCTGTCAGTACAATAAAATAAAATCCATCAGCAGCAGCATAAAACATCAGCCAATCTGTTGGATGTGTTGTTTGTGGCTTTTGGGCATTAATGACTATACACAATATATATACATGCTCTGTATATACTGTACTGTACTGCTAAGGTATTTCCAGTTGATGAAAATAAAAACTATCAACTACAGAAAAAACTCACCATCTTTTACTTTAACAACAGATATCAAGTTCTCTGGAGGCTGGTCTTCATCTGCCAGTGGGTCTTCATCTGCCAGTGGGTCTACTTCAACATCTGAACATCCTTCATCTTCTACTGAAAGATCAAGTCATGTTTAGCATCTACTATGATTATACAGTAATTGTACACTTGTTCTGTTGTATTCTCTCTCTCTCTCTCATACTGACTGGTGTACATTCTTCTCCACCCCCCGTCTCTCTCTCTCTGAAGCTGTTATTTGTTCGGGAATATATAGTTCAGTTCGTATTTATAATAAACCTACAAAACTGGTCTATACCAAATAAATTACATGGACTATTGTGTCTGACAGTTCAGCATACTATAATTTTCACACATTACCTGTACAGTGAATAGCTCTATTAAAGGCTGCCTTTCTATATATTACCATACTAATATTATTAAAGGATATCATTTATCTATCACTAAAAGTACAGGATTAGAGACTATCAATTTGTTATTAGTGATATACTGTACCTGGCTCAAAGTAATAAAAGAGGTTAGGTTACTTACTACAATACCGTAATCTAAAAAAAAAAAATTATCAGACTACTGCACTTAACTCACTACAGTACAGTACTTGTATTTTTTCTCATTTCTGACCCTGTTCTCTGAAGTGCTGCACATCATACTCGGGTATCTCATTCTCGATCTTAGTGAGACGTAGTTTTTGCTCTTCATTTCCAACTCTTTCTCTTCTTAATGTCATATTTTGTCTAGGTTTACTTGTGGTCATCATCTGTTTATAGTCCCTCACAGCAGTTAACTGATTGTCACTCTCCTTATCTCTTTCCCCTTTTTGTAATTCTTTCATTCTCTTATATATTTCTAGTAACTCCTTTTCTCTACTCTCTTTCCGTTGTCGTTTCCTTATTCTTGCGTATCTTGTAAGGCGTGACAGTTCGGTGAATTTTTTCTTCTTACGCATTGTTTTCTTACGCATGATGGCCGATCCTGTGAACAAAAAAAAAGAATCTTCAAGAATAATTATAGGTACAGTACAAGCCAATTTATCAAAGGTTCAACTCACATCAAAATGCGTAATTTGCAGGACATTTTCCCCTACAGCTGAATTATGCTCCTACAGGACTTTGAAATCTCATGAGCCAATTGTTTCCACACTCATGGTAACTGCGGCTAACCCAAGCAAGTGTGGGGAAATGGACGTAAAATATGAAGATGCATGAATGAATACTATCATGGCCCATTGATTTATTTACATTTAATTTTCTGAGTTCGTACTTTATAATAATACCTTCAGTTATATGTGCATCAACTAACACTTCATCTAATTCATCTCCATATAAATAAAGGTAAAAGTGAATCTGGCTGCCGACACCGGAAGGAGATGATCAATTTCGTTCATTTTTCAACACATGTTCTTTGGATGACGGTAAGTAATATAACTGATACAACAATATACAGAACCTAATAGAACCTGACCTAACATATCAAAGAAACCTACCTAACCTTACCTAAATTCCAAGACGGAGGGCTTCGCAAATTCTCGAAATGGCATGGTGTAATTATACGTTTCTTGTGAATGCGAGTGTACTCTCGGACCGAACGGGTCGATTGTTTTTTTACTGTGTTTTACCCCACAATTTCCATTATCCTTCATACCCTGCCCACTACAGGTGATTCATGGGTAAAATTGCAGATTACAGCAACCAAAGAATACCTAACCTTACCTATGATTGAGTGTGGTTTCTGTTGACTGCAATATTACCGATTTATGATCATATGTAGAGAAGACTAAAAAATAAATAAAAAAAATTATAACTAAATAAAAAAGCTGTTGTATCATTTTTATTACTAATTATCATCCAAAGAACATCCTTGGAAAAAGAACGTTATCAAACAACAGCTCCTGTGATTAGCACTCTGCTCTACCCCCCACCCCAAAAATGTTTTTATTTTTTCTCGACTAAAAACTAATAGCAAAAGTGGGTTGTCCTATTATATTTTGTATTGTTTCAAGCGATTCTGATTTAATTTTTGTCATAAATGAGCCGCTATGAAGATATGACCCCCCAATTACCAGCAATATTGGTTGGGTCAAAGTACTGTAGGCAGGGCTTTGAAGTAGAGAATAATGTGTGTTTGTTTGGTGTAATTTTTTATATATTTTACTCAACATATCCCCTCTACTTCAAAGCCCTACCTACAGTACTTTGAACACCCAACTAATTTAAGAAAATGACCAGAGACAAATTGAAATACGAGCATAAAACCATCATTAAATGCAACAAGTCTCGCTAATTATACTGATAAACTCGAACCTTAATGATGGAGGTTTGTCTTGAAACATCCTAATGGTCGGTTGATTTACTAAGTCAGTCCCTTCGTTTTCTTTAAGGTTAAAACGTCTGACTTTATTAGGGGGCTGTGTGAAATATTACATTATATGGATTTTAACTTTTGTAATGATATAGCCTCATTTTCTTTCTACCAGGGGCATTACTGATAATTATGAAGTTGTCTTTATTATGCTCGGTTTGGTCGAGGGGGGTTAGCGGTTTTCTACCCAAGTCGGCTTAGTTTTTGGCCAGGTAATATTTAATTATAAATGTATAACCACTAACAGAAATATGTCATTCTTATAAAGGTTTGTTCCTTAACGAGAATCACCTGAAGAATACCCCGGCGCTACCTGGGTGGAGATTCTTCAGGTGATCCAAAATTAGTAATCGTATTTATCATTGTTTTTATTATCTGACATACACAGCAGTGAATATTATATGAAATGTATGTACGTTAAAAAACAAGTTAGTGTGAGATACAAACCATAATTGAGCAGTTATAAATTATAACCTTGTTTCAGGATGCCGTGTTAACACTATTACTTTCCATTATTTTTACTTAGGAAATAGTGCATTGTATTATCAAGTATCGACAAAATAATCACGGAGATACAACACAGTTAAATGTTTAAAACGATAATTGATGGTAATTTATTAGGTATCTAACAAAATAATAAGCACCGGTATTGTATAGTGTCATTAACTATAAACAGACGTGTTGGTACAGTGAGTTAGCCGCTTGGGTGATCGGTCACGTCCCTGATTACTTTTCCTTTTCTTTTATCCTCTTCACAGTTAGGTAAGGTTAGTTTGTCTTCTCAGGTTAGCTTGCTTATTCATCAAGTAAAATAATTTAGGGTGCCTAATCTTCCGGTGAAATAACCTAGGGTGCCCAATCTTCCGGTGAAATAAGCTGGGGTGCCCAATTTCCAGGTGAAGCAAGCTGGGGTGTCTAATCTTCAGGACCTGGGTGTGTATGTATTGTTGACATTGACTGAAGTTTGTTTCTACAAATAAGGTGGAATCAAACGATGGTGTTTTTGTTAATCCGTTGAAGGCGCGAGGGTGATGGCCTCCAGTACATGCCTTTTGCTAAGTACTCAGGTGACTTTGTAAGTTTTAATGCGACGGTACGCTACACTACCACACGGGCATTGTGCTCTTTGTAGTACAACAAACGCTTCTTTACTTCAGTGTCTTACAGCCGATGTTTTAGTGTCATTATAATCAATATGCTTGACGCTTGTCAGTCTAGGTGTGCGTGCGTGTGTGTGGGTCATTCATTGTTTCTTGACCCTTTGACTTTGGTAACAAACCTAAAGAATTATTATGGTAGAAGTTAAAAGTACGTTACTCTCCTACAATATAATTTTGTATCACTTAGGTTGTGTATATTCAATAAAACTACAAAATAAATTAGAACTATAAAATAACCAGGTGTCCGTCACACTAAACTAGATAGGTTTGTTTCCCAGTGTACACAACGGCCACACGATCAGCTGATGAGAAATAAACAAAGTAGTTGCCAGATATTGGATGATTTTTAGATTTATTTTTATCAAATTATGTCGCCAAACGATGAAGATAATATGTTTATTTTCACTAATGGGGTATTGCTGTCATTATTTAAACGTTGTCTTGTAACGTTAAATCTGTGATCAGTTAAAGTGTGTAGTAGGTAGAGGGAGCGCCTGCGCAGATGGCGCGGCGCCTTACACACCCACTGCTTCGATCTCATTCCCCACTGCGTTGTTTGGCAACATTAGAAGCATCCAGCAACAAGCTAAACAGGTATTAACACATGATAATATCAGTAGCTGTATGTCACATCCCGTAACTGAACAGAAAGTCATTTATTTGCTCTGTAACGCCAGTGACGGCCATGAAGGCGAGACTACCACAGTAAACAATAGCCTGTGACTGTACCTTTAAGGGGGTTTATGCTGCTATTTACCCATCGTTTGTACCAGGCATCACTCTCTCATCTTGACCGGCTTATACTGTTAATCTAGGTACGTCAGCTATGGATTGATACTTGTTAAAGAACATTTAAGTTGTTCGGAAACGATGTTATAAAGTACTGTACAGTAAAAGCAATTAACAAATAATGACTTAAGGAGGTGATGGGTCAATGTGAATAGGTAATACGTTAATAATGATACAATTATATAAATAAGTAGGTTGGTGGTAAGAGCTAAAGGAGGGAATGTGGGGAAGGTTTGGTGGCACAAGTTCAAATTTACCTCTGGCACTATTTCTCAATGACACACTCGTCATGTTTGTCTCCATGTATTAACTGTCAATTCATTTGGAGAACAAGGAGGAATTAAGTTTAAAATCTCCCCATTAAACAGACTTAAAGTGGTCAAGTGGTAATGTATGTGTGTATCTCATGAGTGAGTCTTGGGTTCAGCTCCCAGCCCAGGACAGATGTGAGAAGGGTGTTATCCAGTGTCACTACTAAAGATGGCAGGTTTTCTCCAGGTACAATACTCCAATTTCCTTCAGTACTAACACTGGACAATAAAGGTCATGACAGAGTAACAAAGAACAGACCAGTTGCCTGAACAGCTAGTAAGCCGATAAATTGTAAAATTATGAAAAATAAAATATATAGAAATAAAATGAGCCCAGTATTGTTATAGTTATATTAGGTTCATTCTTGTGGTTTCCAAGATTTTTTTTGTACTACCTCAGAGAATTTGCATCATTTTAGTTTATTCTCTTTGCTTTAGGCAGAGAAGAAAATACAGCCACTCCCCGGATTACAGATATGATGACTGTTCAGGTCATTAGATTCACCCCTAAGAGTAGCTTTAACTGTACACTGTTATATTACAACTTAAAATTGTAGAATTTGTAGGTATATAAACTTCAATAACAAAGACATAAATTGCATTATTTGATGTATAAAGAAAGCAAAAATTATACAAGTTATGTAGTCGCCCCTGGTGCTCGCCTTGGCAACACAGCAGTTGCACCATCAACACCTCGACCTCCACACACTTGCCACACAATTTCACAGTGGAAGATCATAGATACTTAAATACTTTATATTGTACCTTATGATAGTGGTAATTATTTATTTGATTTATTTTTGTACTTTCTTTATGTAGGACTGTATGTGTCTGTGTAACTGGAAAAAAAAATTACGTACAATATATCTACCTGAAATTACGAGTTGAAAAATAACTATAGCATAAACATACAGCTCATAGGTGGGGTATAGCTGGATATATCCCCACTCATCCCAGGGACTACGTGGCGCTCATTTTAAATACGACTTATGGTTGAGTATCCGTAAACTCGGATATCCGTAATCCAAGTCTTCCATAACTTAGGGAGTGTCTGTAATGTGATTAATCTAGAGAGAATGAAAGTGTGAAGCATTAGAAGGCCTTGGCTAGTAATACTGTGTACCTGTAAGTTTAAGTGACCTAATGTAAGATGTGATGTCAGACCAGAATATAAAAGGAAACATACAGCATAGTTAGACCACACATTGCCAACCAGCCATGTTGTACAGCATTTATCTGCAGGTACAGATGCTGTCCCTAAGTGCAAAATGAACACATCCTTGCCAGCTGTTAATCTGATTGCTATAGAATCATACTGGCAATACTGCACTGCTTAATATTGTCATTTAGGCTCTTCTTGTGCTTTAGAACCCTATTAGATTTACATTAGGGTACATTCACCTGCACTTATGTCTGGTACAGGGGCTGGCATGTTTTGTGAGATGTGGCAACTTTGTTTTCATTATATTAAAACTCCCAGAAAGGCCCTAAGGAACCTTGCAATAGTAGCCAGGCTAAGGATGCTAGATAAGCGTTCCACATAGTTGCCACATCTAATAAAATGTACCAGCCACTGTACCAGGTATAAGTGCAAGCAACTGTGCATAATGTCAAGTCTGTATGTGTAGTCTGGCATAGTATTTTTGATGTTGACAGTGTAGAAGTGTCGGTGAGAAAGCAAAGGGAAGAAAATTTGAAAAGTTAAATTAGATCGTTTGAAGATTAACCCCTACCCTGCCTTAACCTAACCTAACCTGCTCTCCCCTACCGTACCTTAACCTAACCCCCCCTCCAGTAAACGTTTTAAGATATAAAACTAAATTCTTAAAGAAATCTTGGTACTAACTTAATTAAGTATACAGTCCACTACATATAAAATCTAAATATTAAAAACTCCATAGAGTTTGTAGAGATTCAGTGATACACTATTAATTGTATATAATAATTAATGTCTTTTTCTCTTTCATCAGATCTGAAAAAAAAAGGAGAGCTGGATACCGGAGACAGAGGGCAGGGGTGCGAAGGCCCGGAAGCAGCCAGACTAATGCTGAGCTGTGTACACCCAAACCTTTTTGTTCTCTTCAAGAAGCTATTTGGCGTAGCCCCAGCGGGGGACTCAGAGGCCGACATGTACAATAATCTAAGTCCACAGTGGCCCTTTGTTAGACAGAGGCATCCTGCTGGTGTTCAAAGTGTCAACCAAAAAGTACGAGCAGAAAGAATAACCATAGAAGGTGATGTTTTAAGGTAAGCATAATTAACCCCTTCACTACAGGGACGCCACTTTTAATATTTTTTTTACCTGTTGGGAGATGACATTGTCCAGCACAGAGGAGAACCCAAACACAAGGGGTTAAGGCAGTACAGTACTCTACCTCTAATACTAGGTCCTATTAAAAAAATTGGGGACGTATTTTAGAATAAATGAAGCACTATGAGTTGGATGGAAAATGGTTGTAGGGCTTGTGGAAGATGCACCATGACAGTGTGCTGTCTCACTCAGCACTCTCATTCAGGAAATATTCTTGACTATTGTATCCACACTTGTCACATTCTTTGGATTTGGCACAAAGCGACTTTGTTTTGTTCCATACTGTAAGCTGAAAAGCGTCCTGAAATGAAAGAGATTTCAGGAAATGGCACAAATCGTACAGAATACAAAACAGGGTTTAAACTCCATCCCAAAAGAAGATTACCAGAGGTGCTTCAACAAATGGGAGGGGAAGACTACTGTACTATGAAAGATATGAATTTAAATACTAATTATGTGACCTTCAGTTTTGCGAAAATTAAATGTCACGATACTTTTTGATGAGACCTTGTATTAGACAAAATATCTTGCATAAAATAGTAGGAGGTGCATCCCAGAAATTATGGATTTTTCGAACTACAGTATGGTAGTACTGTATGATATCTGAAAACTGGTAATTTTAATTTTGCTTGAAAAAATTTATTGATAGTTTATACTTTATATAAACGAAATACTGTAGTGTACAGTACAGTGAAAGACAAAAATCGTGTCATGAAATTTAGTGAAATTATATGCTGAAGGGCTAAACTTTCGGTGCTCTCTGCCTTGTGGTAGGGGGCTCTCATAATGTTTCACGAGTTATATTTAATCTTCGGACAAAGCCGTGACACGACTTTTGTCTTTGATTGTACATATACTGTACGATGTAGTGAAATCTATTTGGGGAGGTGACACAAAGTAACTGGGTGAGATGTAGAATTTTTTCAAGTAACAAAATACTGTATAATGAAGGCCTCCCATGTTAGCAGAGAATGTGGTGCTCTGTTGGTTCAAGATTTGAGGCAGGTATTGTAGATCAAGATGCCTCCCTTGTGTTGCTGTATATTTATGTGGCTCTGAAGTTCTAAATATTATACTTCTCTATTAATTGATTCAGTATCATGTAAGTGTAGGGTTATTACCTTACTATCATCTTAACAATGAAGAGGCCATTTAACTTTAATACAGTTAGTATAGTTTATTTACAGTATCCGTGATGATTAGGCCTGACCCTAGTCTCACACAGTGTAGATCAGATTACATAAAAATAGAAAAAAGTTTGTGAATTTTCTTGTACTGTGTCTGTATATTTGACCAAAACTCATTTACCATAGTATCTCTTATGTGAACGAAAGTACAACACTATAACTTGCTTTGACTTGTCTTATTATTATCCAAATTCAACAGTTATAGTGAAGAGGAAGAAGAGGAGAGAGTTGGCGTGTATGTTGGTGAGGTGCCAGTATGTGCCGACCACAGTTACTTTGAGATTGAGATCCTTGACATGGGTGTCCAAGGATCAATATCTCTAGGTTAGTATTGTCTTTCTCATTAAGATGTTAAAACTAGTTGATATCTAATAGTGTCTGTGTCTCAGTTATCTTGGAGTTAATCAGTAAACAGTATATGTAACTCATTTTGTTTCTAAAGCAAGCATGGAAAATGGCTATCAACCTGTTATGGTGTTAGATATAAATTTAAATATATATCTGTGATTTGTAAGTCAAGATACTGTACCGCTAGTTTATAAAGCCATCAGTGTTGTCTTTTCTACTCCATATCACATTATTTATCACTGGACTATATTGTGTAGTTTACTTTCATTCCTTGATACTGTAACAGAAAATCCTCAAAAGCTTATACTGTACTGTAAATAAATGATGTAAAAAGCATGATTTGTAGACCTTGGGTGGCTAAAAGTACAGTACTGAAGCAGTCATCTTGATAAACCTTACTCATGTTGGCAAATTATTTTCTCTTAGGTCTGTGTTCTGCAAAATATCCTCTACACAAGTTACCTGGATGGGCGGTAGATAGTGTCGGGTATCATGCTGACGACGGCAGGTAAGTGTATCCTCTGTTCGCTCTGTGTCTTATGTCAGCTGGGGAGAAATACAAGAGGAGGAAGAATCACCACATTTGTTGTACATTTTCTGTTAATTGTATCACCGCCTTCTGTTTACGCTCTTGAAAATTAATGGTTAATTGAGATGTGAGAAAGAAAGAGCTTCCATTGGTTAAGGACATCCTTTTAACCACCACTGCTCATAGATATAGCAATTTTCTTTATTCTTCCATTAGTTAAGGACATCCTATTAACCTCTAGGCATCTTTCTGTCTTTTTTTTTCTTGTGTGTTATTCTCATCACATGAAGAAGTTCACACTGTAAACATTTCTTGTGATGGCCACCTCTTCACCTCATCACGTGAAAGAGCTAAAAGCATTGCATGAAATATTTACAGATAATTTTCTATTTTAGTTTATTTATACTGTAACATGAATGAAGCTGTTGCCACATACACTAAACAATAAGACAGTGTTGTGAGAAAGTTTTATTTGAATTATGTAAGGTACTCTGGGCGAGGAGTAGACAAGCAACGAAAAAATAAATAAATGTTAAAGAATACAGATAAAGTTTAGCAATTATGAAATAATTACTGTATAATGGTGTGATAGATGCAGCTAAAGCTGCCTCCCGAAAACTGGGAATGTTGTACAGATGCCGTAGCTACTTCACTTCTGAGCAGTTGCTTCAAGTATATAAGGGATTCATTCATCCTAACTTGGAGTACTGCTCTCATATCTCGGGTGGCTCTTCTGTCCAACTGTTAGATAGGGTGGAATCAGAGGCATTTCGTCTAATTAACTCTCCTCCTTTAGTTGATAATCTTTCTTCCCTTTCTCTTCGCCGCAATGATGCTTCACTCTCTCTCTTTTACAGTTACTTTAACAGGCAATGTTCTGTGGATTTGGCATCCTTTGTACCGCCGGCAAGGCCGTGGGCTCGTAACACAAATCTTGCCCGCGGTGCCCACAGTTTCTCTGTGGATGTCGGTCACACTAGAATAACCGGTTATAGTACCTCCTTCTTTCCTCACACAGCCAAACTGTGGAATGCTCTGTCTTCTTCTGTGTTTTCTTACTTGTGCAATCTGTCTCACTTTAAAAAGCTGGTTTTCCGGCATCTTTGTGATGTAAATTAATATATTTTTCTTTTATGTTTTAGATTTCTTTTACTGATTTTTTCGCCCCCCAGGCCCCGTTGTGGGTCGATGACCTGTGCTCGGGTGGGCTATTCCTTGTAAAAAAAAAAAAAAATAAAAGGCTCAAACCAATCTGTCCTTTCTCTCATTGTCACCCAGAGCATCTCATATAGTACAAATATCCCTCGCTTTATGAACATTTGAGGCACGAAAATTTGCTTACACAAATTTCCTAATTTAAAACCTCTTTCTTATTTTACGGAACCTAGCCCTTACTTACCGGGTATACAAATTTTGATCCGAGCAAAAGTTCAATTTGCTTGCCTCCAGGAGTCAGCTGAGGCAGGCGTCTTGGAGAGGTGCATAGAGACGTATTCTCACTCACTGATCATAACAAACTCCCCTCCTTTCCGCATCTCCCCCCAGCCCGCATCTTTCATTCCACCATTTTTCATGTGAGAAGTGCTCATTATTTATCTGTCTGTATTTGTGACATCTTTTCATAAAGTGTCATGAACATGGTGACAGCCTTACGAAGATCAGGAAAGATCTTGGTCTGTCATCAAACTGTGGACAACTCCTGCATCTTTAACTTAGTTTCACTCCCTCCACCATTTAATTTTCTTCCACTCCTTTCACCTCTGGTGTAACTGTGGTGTCCTTAGCAGACAGCAGTGATGAGGTGGACAGCCCTCCTCATCTCACTGAGTCAGGCCCATACTCAACCGACCCCTCCTCACCCCTTGTGGCGAGCCCTGACTGCCCTCCCGTAATGTACCAAAGTTATACTATATTTTATTAGTTTTTAATGTGTTAGGTAGTAAATTACAGTAGTTTGGTACTATTTTTCCTTAGTTAGGTATGATTTGTTATTCATGAACCTATTTCATGTTTTAGATGTATAATATTAGGATTTTCTTGTCATTGAGGAACTGAATCCTTTTTTCCCATTTGTTTTATTTGAAATATGAAAATTCACCTAACGAACGGGTTTCAAAGAATGTAACCCATTTGTTAAGCGAGGGATGTATGTATACTGGCTCCAAGTACACCTAACTAGTGATAAAGATGTGAAATACATAGAGAGATACATGGAACGTAACTATTGTATATTTAAAAAAAAAATAAGATTCGGGAGTTTGCGGCAGCCACCAATTGATGCTACAGTGTGCATGTGGCCCATATAGAGAGTGAAGGGCCATGAGTAAAATAAGCAGTGTTTAGTGTCTTACATAGCATTGTCACCAGGACCAACCTTTTAGGGAATGTAAAAAAGGAGACTAATATGCATTACTTGCCTTCTAGGGTGTATGAACCATATTTTACTTACTGTTCAAAGTTATTATTTTCAGTTTTGAGATGATTTTTTTTTTGTATTCCAGACTGTACAAAGCTCGTCCCAGAGGCGTAGTATTTGGGCCAAGATGCGGTGCCGGGGACAGGATGGGTTGTGGCGTCAAATACGATCAGTTATCCCTGGAAAGTGATCCTTCATCCGTCCCAGTATTTTTTACGAAAAATGGAAAAGAGGTACAGTATGTATTTCTGTTTGTACAATATTAGTCACACTCATTAGGTGAAGTAATGTTTGATTAATAGTAAAGACTCTTCTATGTGTTAGTGTATTTAGTCATCAATCACTTGGGTAGAGGATCCCATCTGTGCTGAATAAAATCATCTGGTGTTAATCAAATATAAAAAAGTGCTGTCCCCCTTAGTGAATGGGTTAAAAACTCAGATGAAGTATAGATATTAATTGGTGGGACTGACCTATTCCTTGAATATATGTCCCCATTGTAAGTTAATCTCTTAAAAAGAGATTAGTCAACCCCAGCTTATTGTACTGAGGTGGGACCAATAATACTGAAGGTTAGTCATATCAAGAGGGACATGGGAAGGAAAGATCTCTCAAGTTATTTTAATGATCAAATTATTCTGTCACTAGTAAACTAAACTTCTGTGTGTCATGGCAGAAAAATTTGCCTGTTGTAAATAGCTGTCTTAATTATAGTCAAACTTTAATGTTCTTTTATATTTGGATTATCTTTTTCATTTATGTCATGAGTCATGTTAAGTTAACCCCTTGTGTATGGGTTCCCCTCTGAGCCGGATAAAATCAGCTGCCTTTGATGGAATAAACTATTATAAGTGACGTCCCCATAACAAAGGGATTAAAAGAAGGTACAGCCTATCACAAAATTCACCTCCTACTGATCTCTGGCATAGCTTGGCTCAATCATGGTGCGCGTCCCACCCGGGGGATTGTATCCATGTGTGGGTCTTGCCGCTGCAGGAGATGCGGTTAGACTATCTCCTCAGCTCCTTTGGCCACCAGACGAAGATACCCACATGTCCGTTGACTCCATGGAGGAAGAGTGGCTTCGATTACATGATGTTCGGCTAAATGGACAGGTAAGGTTTCGCACACAGTATGGGTAAGACTTATTCATGATTTAAAGTGAATAGTGTGTGTGTGTGTGTGTGTGCGTGTGTGTGTGTGCGTGCGCGTGCGTGTGTGCGTCACTCTGTCTTACCTTTGTTGTTTTCTCTCCTCTTCTTAATTTGTCTCTCTTTTATTTTACATAGTGTTTGTCCATGTTCCTAGTCAGTATTATAACTTCATTAAATATTCACTAAGGATTATATGTGAGGGGTGTTCCAGTAGCTTCATCGTCTACATTAAGATATAAGAGTATATGAAGAACGCTTAAGTTACAATCCATACATAAAAAACTAAATAAAAATGAATAGGATAAAAAAAATGAGAATATGGAGAGCAGTAGAAATAAAAGAAAAACTAATGAGATTTAAGAAATGAAAAAATAACCACTTGAAAAGGACGCTGTGAGACTTTGCACAAGAAAGATGACAAAAATGGAAGTTGATCATTCCGTCTGACTAGCCAGGGTTTTATTTATCAGACATATGTATAGTAAATTGTATGCCAAATCTACCTTAATACAAATGGCTTTTCAACTTGAATTCCTTCATCGAGTCTTTAACATAATTTTAATACTATATACGTAATCATAAATATTTCTCCACATGTGACGCTATAAAGGAAACTAAACTAAATAAACTTTGCTGCGTGTTTCTGCTAGATGCTGGAGTATTGTGGTCGAGGTAAGAGTCTCGTCGACGTTGGGCTGGCTCAGGCTCGTGCTCCGCTTAACACAACCTCGCACTACTTCGAAATGGAAATTGTTGACCCGGGACGCTTAAGCCATATCACCATCGGACTAACGAAAAAGGTGTGATATGTTTCTTTAGGTAATGTTTCTGTTTCTTTAGGTAATTTTTCATTCTTACTATAAAAAAGAATAATTTTTTTAAGGATAACCAGCATTTTTTAATACTGTACTGCTGGTGTTTTTTCTCCCATCCTTGGAAGCACCTGCCAGCTATGAATCATTAGACTCGATAAGCTTTTAAACATTGGGAGCTATGCAGTTTTACAAGCCTTTGAGTATGACCCCCATCAGGTTCAATGTTCAGTGACTAGTACTTGAGGTGGAGTGTATATTCATCAGTGAAACCTCTGTTTAACGGACTACAGTATATGGAGAGGAAAGTCCATAATATCGAGGGTCCTTTAGTTGTGAAATCCCCATCTAACGGATTATACCAAGAGAGAAGTCCATTATATAGAAGTTTCATTGTATTATACCTTAATACTAGGAAGCGGCTAATATACCGTTAGTCTTTACAGGTACAGGTATGGTAGATATGTTCCTTATTATCCTCTTTTTGGGTGTTTCTTTTCAGGATTACCCAAAAGATAGTCACCCGGGGTGGAACAGAGGGAGTATTGCATATCACGCTGATGACGGCAGAGTCTTCACCGGCAGTTCAATGGGCTCCATCTTTGGGCCGCGCTGTCACAAGGGAGACGTCATGGGATGTGGCATTATATTCCCCAGAGATTACGTTTGTAACTACGATAGGTAAATAATTGGACTTTTGTAACTACGATAGGCAAATAATTGGACGTTTGTAACTACGATAGGTAAATGATTGGACGTTTGTAACTACGATAGGTAAATAATTGGACGTTTGTAACTATGATAGGCAAATAATTGGACGTTTGTAACTACGATAGGTAAATAATTGGACTTTTGTAACTGCGATAGGCAAATAATTGGACATTTGTAACTGCGATAAGTAAATAAATGGACTTTTGTAACTACGATAGGCAAATAATTGGACGTTTGTAACTACGATAGGTTAATAATTGGACTTTTGTAACTGCGATACGGAAAAAAAATGGACTTTTGTAACTACGATAGATAAATAATTGGACATTTGTAACTGCGATAAGTAAATAAATGGACTTTTGTAACTACGATAGGCAAATAATTGGACGTTTGTAGCTACGTTAGGTAAATAATTGGACGTTTGTAACTACGATAGGTAAATAAATGGACTTTTGTAACTACGATAGGTAAATAATTGGACGTTTGTAACTGCGATAGGTAAATAATTGGACGTTTGTAACTGCGATAGGTAAATAAATGGACTTTTGTAACTACGATAGGTAAATAATTGGACGTTTGTAACTGCGATAGGTAAATAATTGGACGTTTGTAACTACGATAGGTAAATAATTGGACTTTTGTAACTGCGATAGGTAAATAATTGGACGTTTGTAACTACGATAGGTAAATAATTGGACGTTTGTAACTGCGATAGGTAAATAATTGGACGTTTGTAACTACGATAGGTAAATAAATGGACTTTTGTAACTACGATAGGTAAATAATTGGACGTTTGTAGCTACGATAGGAAAATAATTGGACGTTTGTAACTACGTTAGGTAAATAAATGGACTTTTGTAACTACGATAGGTAAATAATTGGACGTTTGTAACTGCGATAGGTAAATAATTGGACGTTTGTAACTACGATAGGTAAATAATTGGACGTTTGTAACTGCGATAGGTAAATAATTGGACGTTTGTAACTACGATAGGTAAATAAATGGACTTTTGTAACTACGATAGGTAAATAATTGGACGTTTGTAGCTACGATAGGTAAATAAATGGACTTTTGTAACTACGATAGGTAAATAATTGGACGTTTGTAACTGCGATAGGTAAATAATTGGACGTTTGTAACTGCGATAGGTAAATAATTGGACGTTTGTAACTACGATAGGTAAATAAATGGACTTTTGTAACTACGATAGGTAAATAATTGGACGTTTGTAACTGCGATAGGTAAATAATTGGACGTTTGTAACTACGATAGGTAAATAATTGGACGTTTGTAAAAGGTAATTGGATAGGTAAATAAATGGACTTTTGTGTAAATAATTAACTAGCGATAGGTAAATAATTGGACGTTTGACTACGACTACGGTAAATAAATGGACTTTTGTTATAGGTAAATAAATGGACTTTTGTAACTACGATAGGTAAATAATTGGACGTTTGTAACTGATAGGTAAATAATTGGACGTTTGTAACTACGATAGGTAAATAATTGGACTTTTGTAACGATAGGTAAATAATTGGACGTTTGTAACTACGATAGGTAAATAATTGGACGTTTGTAACTACGATAGGTAAATAAATGGACTTTTGTAACTACGATAGGTAAATAATTGGACGTTTGTAACTGCGATAGGTAAATAATTGGACGTTTGTAACTACGATAGGTAAATAATTGGACGTTTGTAACTACGATAGGTAAATAATTGGACGTTTGTAACTGCGATAGGTAAATAATTGGACGTTTGTAACTACGTTAGGTAAATAAATGGACTTTTGTAACTACGATAGGTAAATAATTTGACGTTTGTAACTACGATAGGTAAATAATTGGACGTTTGTAACTACGATAGGTAAATAATTGGACGTTTGTGACTACAATAGGTAAATAATTTGACGTTTGTAGCTACGATAGGTAAATAATTGGACGTTTGTAACTACGATAGGAAAATAATTGGACTTTTGTAACTACGATAGGTAAATAATTGGACTTTTGTAACTGCGATAGGTAAATAAATGGACTTTTGTAACTACGATAGGTAAATAATTGGACGTTTGTAGCTACGTTAGGTAAATAATTGGACGTTTGTAACTACGATAGGAAAATAATTGGACTTTTGTAACTACGATAGGTAAATAAATGGACGTAACTTTAGGTAAATAATTACGCTACGTTAGTAAATAAATGGACTTTTAATTGGACGTTTGTACGTTGTAAATAAACTAACGATAGGAAAATAATTGGACTTTTGTAACTACGATAGGTAAATAATTGGACTTTTGTAACTGCGATAGGTAAATAAATGGACTTTTGTAACTACGATAGGTAAATAATTGGACGTTTGTAACTACGATAGGTAAATAATTGGACATTTGTAGCTACGATAGGTAAATAATTGGACTTTTGTAACTGCGATAGGTAAATAAATGGACTTTTGTAACTACGATAGGTAAATAATTGGACGTTTGTAGCTACGATAGGTAAATAATTCGACGTTTGTAACTGCGATAAGTAAATAAATGGACTTTTGTAACTACGATAGGCAAATAATTGGACGTTTGTAACTACGATAGGAAAATCTGGACATGTATGTTTTCACCGAGGAAAATAAGTACCTCATTGTATATACAGTTGGTCATGTTGTTTGAGATGCCTTAATGTGCCCTAGTAGGTTGCTGGCAAGACATGACAGACAGTACCATTAGAAAAAAGTGTACATGTAGATGATGTTGAAGCAAAGTGAAATATCTGGACACAGCAGTTTGGATCAACTAAATTTTATTCATATAAAGTAAGATTGCAGCACCAGGAATAATGCTATACTTGATTAGATGCGAAAAAACTACTTCAAGCTGTCAGAGAGAAACACAAATGCTAGTAAAAATATGTTAGAACAAGGAACCCAGAAGTAGACAGGAACCATGCAATAAGACAGTGTTGTGTTGAACAGGACAGTGCATCATGTTGAGTAGATTTTCATAGGATCATAACAGGATACAGTAAAATACCTTGAATTTCTCTCATAACTGACTCACCTAACTAGCTGATGTAAGATAAAAAGCAAAAATAACATACCAAGAATTAACTTTAAATGATACTGTACTGAGAATACTTTAACTAAATGCATTACTCTGTATGGTCTGTTAACATTAGTCAGTACTGTATACAAAATTAACATGTATAATCTTTGTGAATCCACCTCCCTCCAATAAAGTAGAAAATCAAGCAATAAGATTTTAAATGATAAACTAACGAAGTAAATTACCAAAAAAATTTATGTAATATGTTGTAAGAAATTGTACTGATGAATTAAGATATCCATACCACCCACTAATTCCTCATCTTACAATCAAACTTTACCGTCTCGCATAATCAGTCTTTTTCACCCCTGTACAGTGAAGGGGGGAGTATGGAAGAGGAGAGCCCGGAGCCACTGGAGTGTGACGACCTGTTGGAACACCTACTGCAGTACCAGCAACCTGCACCGCCACCACCTCTCTCACCTCACTATCCCCACCGTCACCGCCTACACCACACCCACATCCTTCCTACTGATTCTGACGAAGATGATGATGAAGAAGAAGAGGAAGAGGAGGAGGAGGAAGAGGATGATTCCTTACAACCATCACATCAACATCCTGTTGGAGGAAAAGTTCAGGTTGGATTCCTTTATAGTCTTTCAAATGTTCAGCTTTCTGTCAGTGGCCAATACATTTGTAATGCTGGTTGTAGTCATCACCTTAATCTACCTTATTTACCTAATGGCCACCCACTAGAGGTGACCATGCCAGGGGAAGGAGACCAGTGGCTTGTGTAGGATCCCTCCGTTGTTCTTGAAAATTTCGTCAATGACTATTTTGAAGTCCAGCACTGTTCTTGATTCCACAGCTCGGGCTGGTAGACCATTCCATAGGTTTAGAACCATCTGTGTGTAAAGGTCTACCACCCTCTTGACCTCACAGATTTTCTTACTTTTGTGGGTACTTGTATATGATTATACAGTACGTTTGTTTTTGTGTAATGCACTACTTAGAGAGAAAATTATGATATTTTATTGATTGCTAGATTAGTTATTTATATATTAATATATTTTTTCAGGTATTCTTTACACGAAATGGGCAAATGATTGGTCGACGGGAAGTTGCGCTACCAAAAGGCGGTTTCTTCCCGAGCGTTAGTATGGGTAGCATAAACGAACGGGTAAGAGTTGACCTTCACCCGCTGACTGGCTAGATGTCATATGAAACTCAACTCTTGACACAAACTCGCCTTTCTCAGTGAGATATGGCAGCATTCTGTACCACCATATCAGGAATCTGTTACAAGTGTTTATTGGGCGCTACTTATCTTACCAGTGTTTAAGGAAATATGTTTTAAAACTGCCATTATGATTATGGCATCCGCAAAAGAATTATTTGATATTGACAATAGGTAGAATCAGCTAAAGTCATCAGTTCTGGGTGTGCATTGCATTCTATAGTACAGTAGATCAGGCACATACAGTACTTTTATTTTAATATTACTGTATTACTTTCTTTAGGACTATGGTGGCCCTGCAAATTAATTTTATTTCATTTATTAAAAAGAATAAATTATACTTTACATATTGATAAAGTCACTCATAAACTACGTTAATTCTTTGTCATAAAAGATGAAAGCATCCTCTTAGAGCACCTCATTATTTTCAGTATTTAAAAAAGCGATACCTGACTATTTGTAATATGGTACAACTTATTAAACCACAGATTTTGAAGTGAACTTTTGACAATAATTGAATATCACAGTACTTCATAGTTGTATGGAGAATATAACTATGGTTATTCCTATGTACAGTGCTGTATATTTGCAGTACCACAATTGTTTTTTAATATATATAAAATGTGTAAAATACTTTCATAATAAAAATATCATGTGAACATGTTGCTAAACCCTCAGTACAGCTTATAGATACTGTACAGTCAGCCAAATGGAAACTGCAACAAAATATTCTGGAGTATGCAGACATGTGGAAGCCCCGCCGTAGTAAACACACACAGGTTCCAGATGTCTCCATACACGAGAACATCTTGTCTTAGTGCCCACTTGGCTGGCTGTACACTATGATCATTTGTTTCATTGGGACAAGTTAAAGTGAGCATTAAAGTACACTATCACTGCTTTCTTCCGTAGATATGTGGAGGTGAGCCTAAGGGATAATCACCAAACACAATTACTTAAACAAAAAGAAAAACATACTGTGGAATTTGTTTACTGGTTAACTAATACTGTATCCATTACTTTATATTCCCAGTTGAGTGTAGTTCTAACCATTCGGCTCATATCATTGAATAAATACTGTATCAGTATTGAGATTAAAGCCAATGAAAGGTTATAAGTTTGTTGGATTGTTATCAGCTCTCAGTCATGACCTTGCAGTGTAACACATATTGCTCAGTTATTTATAAAGCCTCTTTGTTTACAGTATTGCACCTCACTCTTCCAGGGATGATCTGGTTACTTAAGAACCTCCAGCCCACCTTACCTGTCTCCTCTGTTGCCTTTATCCCTTCTCCTTCAAGCGTTGGTCCACCTTTCTATCTTGCTCTTTCCAGTACACCTTCAATAGTTTCCTTGTACAACCTCTTGACACTCTCCTTATCCATCCTTCTCACTTGTCCGCACCATTTTAACTACAAATATTCCACAATTCCACATTATAAACCCTCTACCTTTCCTTTCACCACCTCATACACTTTACAATGTCTTAATAATTTCCCTTTCTGGAATTTCTGAGAGGTTGCCACTAATTATGCAGCACCAAATAGTGTAACCATAGAAAATTTTAAATATAAACAAATCATTCTGTGAAAGTAATATTGATAAGTTTGTACTGAGGGTAACTGAGCTAAAACTAGTTCAACATATGTGTTTTAGATTTTATTTATGAACTTACAAGCCATCTATTATACTTGCTGCTATACTGTACACTGCAACTCCAAGTTTCGTTGTGTAACAGTTGCATACTAAATAGATTATAAATTGTGGTAAAGTTATTTAATGCAAGTATTAAATTGGTCTTAGTGCAGTGTGCGTGTATACAGTATATTGACTTTCACTCCTTATCTGTTTGAGTATTACAGTATCTACCATTTTTCTCTTAAATGGTTTTCAACCCCTAGAGGTCATCATCATTGCCCTATGATCTCTCTATTCTTAATAATTCTCGCCAGTTCATTGTTTGTACAGTATACTGTACTTATAATACTCATATTTTTGTAATATTTTCTCTTCTATCTATTCTGCTCAATTGACTTGTGTTGTTCACCATAGGAAAGGTTTAGGTATATTGCATTTCACAGTGTAGGTACCAAGTCACAGATTCCAAGTTACAGTAATGCAGTCGGAAATATTCCTCTTGGCTGTACAAACTTTTGCTGTCTCAGTGTTGATATTATTTTAGCCAAGATGTTGAGAGACCCTTCAATGTGATAATTGCAGGGGAAAACTTGTTAACTGGAGATGAAAAATGTGTTTACTGGTGTTTCATTTGACTAGTCTTTAGCTAGAAGTATAAGGTTAGTCCAAACCAAAATGATGTCTTCTTGACAGAAGCAAAATATCACCCATTGTTTTCTTGTCTAATCAACTAATGAAATTGGTGGAAAATTTTAAGAATCTGTCAAGTGGAGAGGTGAAGTTCCTGCCAAGTCATTGTCAGGAACAGTGTTAAAAACTAAATTTATAGCTGTTACCTGGATCAGTTTACTGCTGGAGCAAATGGTCAAATGTATTTGATTGATTAATGCCATGGGGAAAATTATGTTCTGATAAAGGCTATTTGATCACAGTGCTCTCTGCTGAGCTTCACTGTTGGTGGGGATCCTGGATAAATACTTTGATATTTAGATATTTTTTGTGTATTTTAATCAAGAACAATGATGTTAACAAAATAACAGGAAATTAAATTTTTCTTGAACTGCTCTCTTGTAAGTTAAAGAAATATATTTTTCATTGTATGTCTGCTCAAATGTATCATAGTGTATTGTAGGACGACTTATTTGACCAAAGTGTCATGATGCTATTATTGTAGTTATATTGTATTGCCAAATATCACCATTTAGGTAATGAGTTTTTAAAAGGTTAGCTGTAGTGTTTGTGTGTTATTTTATGATAGTACTGTTCTATTAGTCATTATGTATACTTTTTATGGGTCATTCAACAGGTGACCTGCCAGGTTCCTCCACTAGAACACTCTTGTCCAGCTGCCTGCATTTCAGCAACAGGGACACTGTTCTGTTGGCAAGTGCTTGCTCAGTTGGATCTGAGTTTTAGAAGTAAACCCCAAGATTGGTTCAGTGGGTGCTAAGGAAGGCAGTACAGTAAACCATAAGATACACCATGATGAACCCTCAGGTGGTTCACTCATGGCTCAAACTCCACAGCCATAAATATGAGTTCCACACTTAAGAATCTCACATTTCCTGCTACAGTTTTGACCTACTGTCAGTGTGGGTTGTTTGTGTTCTACCATGCTCCTTGTGAAACACTAAAGATAAGTGCCATTTATCATATGTTGGTATATCAGTCTCACCTATAAAACCCTTTTTTTACAAGCACATTATTTTTATGGTGTGAGTGTTGTTTTGTGGTTAGTTTTAAGTGCTGTGAGAGTGTTATTTTTTTCTTTGTGTGTGACCCGAGTGAGTTGGTGAGGAGTCAATTGTAGGGCTGAGTTTTCTTATGTGTAATATGTTTAGTGGTGCCATAGACATTAGCTTAGGCTGGCAATATTGTTATTGGAAATTTTATTTGGTAATGGGCTGTGTCTCCCTCCCTCCCATTATACTTGGTATTTGTCTTGCATTTAGCCACTGCCTCTCTCAGCCCTTTGTGAGTTCCCTTATTAGAAGGAAATTGTAACACTTTGAGGTTCTAAGTTGTACAACACATGTTTATGGCTTTGGAGTTTGAACTAAGAATGAATTGTTTGCAGGTTTCATTCCACTTTACCTTATGGCTTGCTGGCTCTTGAAGCAACCACTGGAGTGCTGTTGGAGACTGCTTCATAAGTCACAGTTCAATTGGACAAGTAGCAATTTACACTGAACTAACAGAAAAGATGTCTGCAGTTATAATATAGAGAGGCCCCTAGACATGACAGACTCAGCCAGGGGGATGTTCTAGTGGGGGGGTCTCACGGGTCACTTGTCTCTTCCCCTTGACCATAAAATGGGATTTTGTGCTTCATACTCGGTACTGTATCAGTTTATGAGGTATGTAAGAGCGATTTGAAATTTGGGAGTTATTGTTTAATCATCAGAATTTATCAGTATTATTACAGATGAGACTTGACTGACTGTGTATAACAACAGCCTCTTACACTTACAGTAATCCCTCCACAATTCAGTATTCTCACATTCAGAGTTCCTTTGGATTTGGAACAGTAGTATTAAAATGTCTAATAATTAATAATATTCTGAATTGGAAGAAATATCCGGAAAAGTAACTGGCAAATTCTGCTCAATTCGTCGCCACTGCAGATGTTGATTCTGCATTTCATAATCTATAATACTCTATAGTAGTTTTTATTGAAGTGTAGTTATCACTTGATAATCATGCAATAGTCAGCAATGCAATTTACTGAATGGATATTGTATCATATTTCCATTGCATTTAATTTAGTACAAATACTGTATGATAAAATTTAGAATCATGAATTGGCCCCATTGTTAATAGATTAAACATGTACTCATGTGTACGTGTGTTAGCTTATTGAAGGTGAATAATTTTAATGTATTTCTAAAGGTCACAGGGTCACCACAATAGGTCATGATGTAATTAACAATAAGCAACATTGACCCATTTTCAAGGTCACATTTCCACCAAACATGAATGACACTTTCAGCCAGAAGCCAGTCAGAGATACAGCAATTGACTAACCCATGTTCCATGTCCTCATTTCTACATGTTTGGGGCCCTGGGTAGTTCTTATACTGTACTACCATTACAATACTGTACATCAAGTTCCTCTGAGGGACCAGTGAGCCATAACTTCTTGAAGGAGATAGTTGGTAGAGCTGAATGGGGCATCAACGTATATTTTTTTCCTGTTAGAATTAAGAGATGAACTTTGCATGTGAGGGAAATTCATTGTCCACTTGTTGACTGGTGGTGTCAGATACGAGTTTTATACCACAAAAGAAGGGTAAAATTTGTAAACAAAATTCACCTGTGATTGCATTGATTTATCTATGTTCATTACAGGTTCTCCTATAGGGGTAGAATGTTTTAACCTCTTCAGACTATGTACAGTACTTGCTTCAGAGGTCCTCATCGTCCAACAGGCCAAGACCATTGGGTATCCTGATATAAAGGTAAATGTTTAAAGGCATTTATTCCAAAATTTTGCAAAATACTAAAAGACTTACAGTGATGCACACAGTCAAGGTTCATTTGTAATTATATTTTATATTTTTATCTCAAAATATAGTACTACTGTATTAGACATGGTACTCTGAAGAAATTGATAGTTAGGTATGTAGTCAAGGTTCACTGGTATTTGCATATTATTTATATGTTAAACTTGGTTAGTGTTATTGTTAAAGCATTACAGGTATTTGTAAAGGATGGTCATTTATTTGTGTCATTTTATATTACAAAGTTACTTGAATAAGAGGAGTTGTTAATTAAGAGCAGCTCTGAACTAACTTCCTACCAGTAGTGTGATCAATATTAGGTAAGTTATTGTCTATTTATGATGAAAATTATATTATTTATTTATTGAAGAATGGTTATATTGGTTATGCTAGTACACCATGATCAGTGCCTAGACATTATCTCAGTTAGCTACAAGTGCAGTAGAAGGATGTGCACAATACTGTACAGTTTTAGCATATTTAACTTGTTTTGGAAAATATGTTAAATTAAACTTCATCTGGCTATGGTAATCAGGTTTCTTTTCACGGAATTTTAAATGTATAAATTGAAGGAGGACTGAAGGTTTTTAATCATGTTCAGCAGTTAACTAATACAGCAACAGCAGCATCACTGTCCTCAGAGAACATAGTTGTGGTCAGGTTTTTTTGCTGTACCACTTATACAATTTAACTTTCTTGGCCAGATTCTGGTTAATGACAATTTTATTTATTCACAAGAGGGTTAGTGCATGCATATAGAAAACTTTAGAATATTTATGCTGCATATTATATTAATGGGTAAAATATTACAAAATGGTTTTGTTCCCAATCTCTTTTAGACACCAAAGTGCTAATTTTTTAAAGTAAGAGATAAGAGAGGTAGTTGTGCCATAGTCTGGGACGACAGTCTTTCCTCTGTGTAATCATGTAATATCATTGCAAATCTTCATATATGTGAACTTTATAGAGCAAACTTGTTGCAAAATGTAAAATCTTATGATTATTTTATATTTCATATGAGTAGTGTACCAAGTTCCCGGTTGTTAGGTGTGGTAGTCCACATATATTCACAGTTTTATGAGATAAAAGATTGTTGTAGTTTGATAGCAGTATCATGTATTTGCATATTTCTGAGGTATATCTGTAGTTTAATAATGTATACTGGTTAGTATCACTGTTGTAGCACATTTGGTTTATATCAAGATTAACTGGGAGTTGTAGTAGTGTTACAGCCAAGTATTGAAGGCTGGCTATTCAGTTATAGAAGATTAGTATAGACACTGTTACTGTTGTTAAATGTGAACCAACTAACTTCAGGGGAAGCTGTTCAAATAGTCTCTTTGGACCATATTTATATTGGTACTGCACTTAAGTTCAGCATATATTTTGGTCATAAACAGTGACTTTCCTTGGGTTTTAAAAGAATGTTTTATGCATTACACTGACAAAGGAAGCTGTTGGTGTAGCTTGTGTCTACTTAACATTCCAATCAGAGCATTTTGATGTTTAAAAAGGAGAGGAATATGAATTATTTCCTTCCATGTAATGTAGCTCATATGAGGCATATAGAATAACAAGGGCATATCACCGGGTTATTCAGTTTCCTATTTTTATGTCAGTCAGTAGTCCCGGCGTTCCTCTGTCTGATAATGATGTCAGGCAATTTAGGTATTCCTCCAGCATGGTACAATCCCTCTAAGAAAACATGCAGTACAGTCTGAAAATTTAGCCGAGTTGAGATATTCACATATATGCCCTTGTTCTTCTATATACCTCACATGCATAATTTCTTTTTGTGAAGTTGGGATGAATATTAAAGGTACTCACTGGTGCTGGGTAGCAATCCTCTCTTTGTACTTAAGGAGGGAGTTGGGGTATTGCTCTATTACTTAAAGAATGGTCGCACTGCAGTGACACTCCTAGAGTAGCGTACACCTTCTCACTTGAAAGAAATGGGTGAATTACTTAATGGAATGGGTAGTGAAATAGTCCGCTTTTATTTATCATAGAAATTTTTAATTAATTGGTTTACATCTTTCTTTCTTTTTTAATCAGTGACGATGACTCGATTAAAAATAAAAAGAGGTCCAAATCCGTCCCAGGGAGCTGAGATTCTAAAAAGTGTAAATACCAAGTGCTTGAGTACTTCAGTAATGATATTCAGTTCTGTATGAGTGTTATAAATTACTGGTGTATCGCGTACGGTCTGCTGCTGCTTCCTGCATTTAAAACAGTGATATATGTGGCCTCGTTTCCAAACATAGGTCCTGTTTTTATTGATATATTTTGTGTATTGTTTCCTTTTAACTGTCTTAATGTTCTTTCTTTATCTACTTGTACATGGTGTAATCTACTTAACCTCTTCAGTATGGGGGACGCCACTTTTAATATTTTAATTGGCAAATGCCTGACGATTCAGCTCAGAAAGGCGCCCATGCACTAGGGGGTTAAGGTATTTTACATCTCTACAGCTACGAGAAGGGTTCATCTCTTCAATTTAATATTCAATTTGTTGTCATGTAGCTCTCTAAATGCAGTTGATGATGATGTTAATATGGAAGCTGTCCCATTGGTGCAGTAAATTGATTGGCTGCGGTTGAGTTATAAGTTCAGTCCTTCAGGTGTAGGAGTAAAGGTTTCCTCTTGTGTCCCAGTAGATGTTGATCCTCTTCATAGGTTTAGTCTGCAGGTTATTAAATTGTTCGCCTCAGATTTGAATTCTTTTTGGTTTAATCCTTTTACAGTATTTAGAGTTATTTGATAAGTCATGCTTTACAAACTCCTTGATATTGTTGACTGTATTCAAAAGTAATTTACTCTTTTCTTGGCCCTTAAACAGCAGCTAAAGATTCTCTACTCCACCCCATATGCGCAATAAAAAATGGAACATGCATAAGGAGCACGAAACATCCACTGATGTTAGCCGCCGTCCCTACAGCTAAGATTCACTGATGATGGCTGCCGTTTAAGGGTTAAAACTTTGGCATTCAGAAATTTACATCTTTCAAAAAAATTTATATTTTATTTGTTTATCTGTTACTGCTTCCCCTGTTTATATCCTTCACCTCACTTGTCATTCTCCGCTCCTACTACCTGAAGTGTTTGCCAAGACCAATCATGTACAGTACAGTAGTTGAGATCGAGACTATTCGTAATTTTAGCCTTTATGGATCACTTGAAGATTAGCCCCCCATCCAGATAGTTTTGGGGGTGGTTAAACTTCAGGCTGATTGATCTGGGGAGGGGTGACTCTTCAGGTGAGTTAAAACTATGAAAGGTCTTTGGTCTTTGTCTCTATTGCATTACTGCCCAAGACATTTACCGGTATTTTCTCAGTGTAAATAAAGAATGACTATTCATGTACCAACAGAATCATAATGTAGAACTCGTAAATGAATGCTGTTGGAACTTGAAATTTTAAGTTGCGAACTATGTGGGGAGACTTGGCATATATTGTATCGCCTTGTTCAGTGCAGGAAGTCGTGTATGGTGTACAGTACGTGGACGACCAGTGTACAGTAGTTATCTCTTCACAGCTGTTCGTTGCTTCTCTTCACCTTTCTTTACATTATTCGCTCAAGAATGTACCTGAACGGTGCCATGATCCATTCTGAAGCGTCACTCTGCATTCATCATCATATATTAAAACTTATTTATTGTTATTTGTATAGTTGAGAACAAAAGTCCTGTCGATTCTTTTGTTGCTCCACGAACCCTGAGATTCAGACTCGTGAATCCGAAACAGTAGACACCGATGCATTATTCTCATTATTCTATCCATAAATGCTTCGGATTCACGAGTCTGAATCTCAGGGGTCGTGGAGCAGCAAAACAATTTACAGGAGTTCTGTTCTCGACTAGTTTGTTATGTTTCTCATACCGGTATATTGAATCATAGCATGTTAGGCTAGACACTTTCATACAACTCAAGAAGAAATATTACAAAAATCACATCATTCTCACTTCTGTACACTCATAACTCATACCATTTCTCATGACATACATTAACATTCACTGTTTCTTTTCATTATTGTTGAGTGGCTCATTATACTTTTGTCTACATTGCTCTTGTAGTACTTCACACTTTTTGATTTGAAATATAACTGAGATATATACACTACAGTATACAGGTGTGTGTGTGTGTGTACATTACTGATTGGAAACTCTTAAGAACTTGGTTATTTCACTTGTAATAATGAATGTTGTGTCTTTGTGATGTGGAAATTCAAGTGATCCTTTGTACAGTATTGTAGAAATATTAAGTAGAATGGTCAGCCTTTTGAGTTGAAGGAATGTTAAAGAAACGTTTATATGTTTTGGGGGGGTTTTGTTTTGAGGTTGGAATTCACCACACCTTTTGTTTTAGTGGAGGTGTGGCTGTTACCTTATCCCTGATCAGCAAGAGATGGATCAGATGCAGTATAATGAACCATTGTTTATTAAGAAATAATCCATTTTCTGATATTAGTAGAGCTAGGATATCTGTTCTTAATTGTCCATGATTTTAGAGTCGCAGAATACAGTATAATGTTTCAAGTTCCAGATTTTCCATATACAGTATACTACTGTACATTACTGTACCTGTACTGAAGTGCAGACAAATAATGGTTTTGTTTGAGCATCTCTGTACTGTACTATGATATACAGTAAAGGATGCAGACATAACATTTTGCAAAAGATGATAATATATATTTTGGATTTGATGCAATAGTTTTTTGTATCAAATGGTACTGTGATTATGACATTCACAGCTGAATGGTAATAGAATTATAACAAAGAAAGGATGTCGAAAAGCAAAATACTTTTGAAGTTTCACATTTTAGGGTAAAGTTTTTTAATGTGAAAAAATTTAATCTAGATAATAAATGATATTCTCTGCTTTATGCAAGCTGACAGTTTTCCCATACTTTAAATATTCTGCCTTCCTATCCATAGAAAATGTGAATCCATAATCTATGCCTACCTTGGCATTTGTTTGTTAGTAGTTACTTATTTCAATAATGAAACTAGCTAATCAACACTGCTGTTTGCTTACATGCTTCCAATTTAAAGACACCTGTGTCTAGTGCTGTGGAGTGAATGTGGATTACATGCAAGAAAACCAATTGTGTGTGGAAGTGTGCATAAGTAAGTACCATGTGTGTATGTGTGTGTGTGTACATGAGCAAATAATTACCATATGCTGTGTGTGTCCTTGATTGTGTTTGTATGTCTGTATGTGTATGATGGTTTCTTCATAAGTCTGTCTTTCTGTCTCTCTCAGGCCAGCCAATCTACTTAGCTGACTAACATTTTCATTGTCAGTTTCAGCCTCCTCCAGATACATAGTGGGTCCGTGGGACTTTGTTTTGGTACATATTCTCTTGATATTTAACACTGTACTGGTAAATATTGTGATCAATTCTGGTGTTCAATTAACGACCCTAATATTTTATCCTGTGATTTAGTAACACACGTATCTCTCACTAATATATTTAGGGTTCGAGTCCCGCTTGGCCCGGACACATGAAAGGGTGTTATCTAGTGTGACCCTCACTACCAAACATCACAGGTTTCCTCCTGTACTATCACTGGATAAACCAACCAACTGAATGGCTTGTAAGCTGATAAGTGGTAAAATGATAAATAAAAAAAAAAAAAAAATACCCGATAATTACATGTTTATTAAGTCACTACTCAAAATCAATAAATTTAGTAAAATCATTGATATTTAAATAATTGCTGATATACTCTATCCTAATATTAGTCTTAGACCATAAAGGAGGAGTTATTTTAACACGTAATAACATTCATAATTTTTAATGGATGGTTGAAGATATAAATTTTAGGAACATATACGTACCATATTTCAAGATATTAAAAGATATCTACTTTTTAGTTGGTCATATTTTTTCATAAAATACTTGTATTATACTACTGTGCTGTATACTGCATGTTGAATATTGAAACCAAAGTCATATCATTTCTTGCATCTTTTGACAATGACTGATGTTCTTCTAATAACCTGTGACTTGTATTAAAGCATGAGCAGTAGTAGTAAATTGTTTAAATAAGTTATGTAAAATATAACCTGGGAGATATTTTTACTACGAAGTGTATTAGAATATGTAAATGGGAATCTGTACAATGTCTGCCTTGTGATTGAAGTCTGATGCCTGAGAATGACTAGAGGAAATGGAAAACTTTTTTTAGTATTGTCATAGCTAATATGTTTTGTGACTGCATAGTTTTTAATAGGGAGAAAGACTTGATTGAAACATGATTATTATGAAGTTGCAAGCACAGTTAATTTATTTATTTATTTTTTCTTTTAGGCAGGGATTAAAGTGCATAGGACTAGTTGTGCATCGCTTTGCATAATGGTGGTAAATGTATGGGAAATATAACTGCCTTTATGAGAGTGATTTCTCTCAGGTTTTCAGTTGGCCGTGAAATTTAGAAACATATAAAAGTTCATCTAGAATTTTGAGAAACTATACTGAGTAGTCTATTTTTCCTTGCTGCTGATTTGTGCCATGTTTATTAGTTTTCTGTGATATTAACTTCTGTGTGTTGTGATATATAGTAAAGCTTCTGTATAAGCCACAGAATTTTGTGTATTTAAAGAGACAAGTAAGCATTGTTTCTGTATATTTTGGTACTAATGGCAAACAGGTATAATATCTTTCTTTTGTGCCATGTAGTTGAGGAGATCTGTAAACCAGGTCCCCCAATACTTCTTAGATGTCATAGAAACATGAGAGTGAATTTAGAGGTGTGGTAGTTTAGGAGACATAATCATGGAGTCCTCATTATGTATTGAGAAGGTGTACGAGAACCAGTCAGACACATTTGGTGCATCGCTTAGTATAGTAAAGATCATATTCTGTTGCATCAGTTGGGTAATTTCTTAAAGGAATTGAGTCATTGCATTCATAAGTTAAAGCAAGTTTGTTTATCTGTAATTAAAAAATGTAGATTAAATTTTTGAGTGTTTAAGGTAAGCCAAAAATCACTATATTGTTTATTGACTTGCCTTATACCACCTTCACAATACATGTTTCATATATGTTGTCAATACAGGGTACAATTGCATTATATTAAGACAAAGTAAAGTTGTTAGAATGAGCACATGTTATTGCTAATACACCCTTAATTCAGTATGAATTTGACATCCATCCTTTTATGTGATCATTTTGAGAATGTCATTTCTACTTCAAACTCGGATGAAATTGTAAATTGTTTTTTTTTACCAACTTGTAGTCATTATTCTCGTCGTATTCAGTTGTGCCTCATTCAGAAGCAACATTTAAAATTTATGCCAATATGTCTTGTTATATAACTGAAGAATTACAATTTACACGGCGATACACTACGTGTATATATATAACAGCATTCGGTAAATGATCCTACATTGGAATAGTTACTGGTGACTTTTAGCCACAGTACAGTGTATGATCTCACACCCTCGGTTACATTATGTCACAGCCAGACCAGCCGTGAGTCACAATACCAAACGTCATCTAGGAAAATACAGTAGATGTCTGAATACACTTGTAGGTACAGTAGGTTCACGTCTTATACATAGCTGTTTGTGACAGTACAATGCTAAGATAATACTGTACATCTATCTATTTCACACACAACTACTAAACAACAGTTCAAAGATTATTTCTCAACTATGTCTCCTAACCTCTCCAGTCTTTATTAATTTCATGTTTACATATCTTGTAAGTTCGTTATTTTGTGTAAAGAAATGGTCTATTGTGTGAACCAGCGGTTTGTCTACCTTATGTATCATGTGTTGTAGAAGCAATAGTAGATATTGTTTTAAAGCAACAAAAGTTTTGTATTTATTAGTTTTAGTCTATTTGATATGTATTGAATTAATTACTGTGCAATGCAGTAGTTTCATTTGCATGAACCAAGCAACAATATTTTCCGTTGTTCAAGTTTTTTTTGAGAACTCGGTGATTTTTCTTACTGAAATTGATAGCGTCTTGTAAAGGCATGTTTTTCACATGCAGAAATATTGATTATCTGCAGTAAGTATTTTCCTTGGGGACTAGTAGTGGCCTCTCCCTTCTGTACATTCCAAAAATAATTCAGAAAGTAAAAAGTGACATAAAAAATACATGTGCAATTGTAACTCCAAATACATCTTTTGTAAAAATATTTATAAAATTACTGTTTCTGTGTACAGCAAACCTTTAGGAAGCAAAGGTCCTTTGGGAATATTTAATACTGTACTGCAGATTACATGAGGTTACTCGCCCAATGTGAACTCGGTAATTATAAGTTTGTTACCAAAGTATATGTTATTGTACTGCCACAGTGTGTTATAGAGCTTGTCTCATCATAAATACAGCTGCTTTTCATATGCAAATGTCTTACTTGTACCTTAAAGGTCAACAGCAGAAAAAAATAACATCATCACATATTAAAACTTGTTTATATTGTTATTTGTACAGTCGATAACGAGTCCTGTTGCCCATTTTATTGCCCCACGAACCCCGAGATTCAGACTCTTGAATCCAAAGCAGTAGACAGTGATGCATTATTCTGTCAATAAATCTTGTAAGTTCTTTATTTTGTGTAAAGACATGGTCTTTTGTGTGAACCAGCAGTTTGTCTACATTACTGTATGTATCATGTGTTGTAGAACCAATAGTAGACATTTTTTTAAAGCAACACAAGTTTTGTATTCATTAGTTTTAGTCTACAGTATTTGATATGTATTGAATTAATTACTGTATAATTCAATAGTTAAATTTTCCTGAACCAAACAGTCTATTGATCATTATGTTTTTGCATCAAATTGAGTGACACAGATTTCAAGTATGATGATGATTACATTTTTGTAACCAAAAAGTCATGAAATGAATAACTTCTTCCTTAGAACATAATTGAATAGTACAAATTTCAACAGTTATGGCAGTGAGATGAAACCTGTAGATATTTGCTTTATTACAAAGTTAAATCTATCATTATATAGTTTGTAATAAAGTTGGTCCAAAGTATAGTACACTGTAATAGTGTTCATACAATGTAATGAAAAGCTAAATATTTTCTTGATAATTTTTTTTTTCATCCTAACTGCTGGAGGTGTAAAGGCCCTGCCAGTAGTTAATCATCTTGTATATTCAACTACTGTACCACACCAAGATCTCTTGTCCTTTGTTCATTCCAGCTTAATCTGTTAACCCACTTCATGCAGTGCATTTTGTAGTGCCTATCCCCTGTCCTGATGGTAGTCATTCATTACCTTCCAATTACCTTATCGAACTAGAGGTTGCCTTGGTCATGCCTGTCAACTCGATGTGTATGAACTAGAGATTCTCGATATTGTCACCTGTCTCCTGTTTTTGCACTGTTCATTCAAAGTTTAACTACAGTGTCTTATTATCTTTAGTTTGGACTATTTTGACTTGCAACATCCCGCATTTGTGGAAATTCACAAACGAGGCTGATTTCCAGTAATAAATTCAGTACTGTACAGTACAAGGCTGTATCCAAAGCATGAGAATGTGGAGGTTACAGTGTTGGACAAAATGTGCACGGCACAGCTGTTATGGGGGTACATCCGTCCATACATAGATATTTTGTCATGTAACATTTCATTAGTGTACAAGTCATCTGTGATATGTAAGTAGTTGACACCATTACAGTAATTGGTTCTGTATTCTGGGACAACCAAAGGAAGGGGTTATAGACACCCGATAACCCCCCCGCCCCAGAAACGGCCTTGCAATAGCAATGTTGTTAACTGTCCTAGTACACTGTGAAATGGTATGTCGAGGGAAGTTTAATGCTTCAGGTGGAAAAAAGATGAGAATTTTTTAAGAGCAGTTTTGACTTTGTGATGACACTGTGTGCATCTACAAGAGGCAAATTTAATTATGATAGTACAGCCAGAAAATTTAGTCAACCAAGATACAACTTAAATCTGGCAGGACTGAAACATTTTGTAAGAGAGAGTAGTGAATTGCACAGGTAAAAATAAAGAACCATTACAGTGGTGGGCAAGTAACAAAGTACAATATTTGTAATCGATTACAGTAACGAAGTAGTTTTTCTAAATATCTACTTATAATTAAGTACTTTTCCAGACGACTACTTTCTACTTGTAATCACCTAAAAATTTATCAACAAGAACTACTGTACCGCATACATCACTGCATATACTGTTTTTACTCCGTTAAATTTTTAAGTAACCTATGCTGTATGCGAGTACTGTGCTGTGCTTTTCTGTTTGTCTTTAATTTTTTACTTCTGCTCAAAAGCTGTTTACTTATTCACCATATTATTGATAATAATGCAGAGGTAAAATTATTTACTCATGAACTGGATATTACTTAGCAGTTTAAGCACCACAAATGACGTCAGATGAACGAAATTTATTTATGTATTTATTCATACCAAAACTCCAAAACAAATTCTGAATGCTTCCCAGAGACCTTTCTATACATTACCTAACCTAGCTTACCTGACCAAACCTACTTAACCTAACCCTACTTTGTAATAATAATAATGATATACAAATAATACAGTACATCAAAGATAATATTACTAGGTACAGTACTGTATTCCTATTATACTATAAAATTTAATAATAGTACAAAAATTTACTAATTATGTTGTCTCTATTATTAATCTTTACTTATATTATTAAAAAATACGATTAAATTAATAAATAATAACGTTAAGGTAAGGTTAAATAAGAAATTTTGTCTTCGGTATTTCATTATTTACATCGTTTAGTCACGATCATCTATATAACGTTTTCTCTACTCACGTTCGTTTAATATGATTTAAAAATTAATGCTGTAAAGATTAAAGTAATACGGTTGTATCCAAATTGGAAATAAATTCTAAAATAAACTTTATGGCAGGAAACTTAAACATGTGGAAAATTTTGTGTATTTTGAAAATAACATTACCTGTGATGGTAAATGTACGGAAGAAATTAAAACAAGAATAGGGCAAGCAAGTTTTTATTTTAAATTTTCGATTCACAGTAGTAATAACTAATAAATGGTTGGTTGGTGATGCTTGTAACATTACATAAGTTATGGGTGAGTCGTTTTCTATGCCTCGTCTGTCCTGGCATCTGGTGGGCTTTTTCACGACTACATTTTTATTCTTGGTCGGTTGTGGTAAATTTGTATTTTTATGTATATTTATGGTTAAATATTGTTAATTTTTAATATATTAATAAATAATTTGAGATTATTTAAAGTAAAATTGACGGCAAAAGACGAGTTAATATAATTTTCTCTGAATGATGCAAATAACAAGTGTCTCCCACCAAGCGCGAATTACCCGTTGTTTTTTACTCCTAGTATTCCAAGATAACCAAAATTTAAATGTGTGGTGTATTCTGTAGAGTCAATTAAACATGCCCCCCAAAAATCTGAGTTTATAAATCTACGCGCCTCGCATGACAAGGGGCTGTTAAGCTGTAGTGAGTGTGCAAGCAGGCGGGACGTTGATTATGCCATCCCTTGCCAACACGGTTAATGAGTTTTTTAAAGCCAATAATCCGGAAGAATCAATAGCGGAGAATATTGCAACATGCACAGCCGACCACGTACCCCTGGCCACTAGCGTCTTCGATACAGTGAGTTAATTATGCTTTGTAATACGACTTATACGAAACACATCCGAATTTGATTGACTCGATACTAATCGATTTTTAAATGTAGACTTAATACCGTATACGAGTACGGTAGGCGATAAAGATGTCTTGGTCAGTGGTCCAGCATATACAGTACTGTATACCAAATTAGTAGTTAGTAGTAAGGAAATACAGTACTGTACAGTCAAATTTAAAAACTAAAACTTCATCGTCGTTCATCAAATTTTCTAGTGTTTACCGGTTAATATAAGTGATTTCTGTTTGTTAATTTATGTATTCATCTCTCTTGCAGTAGGATTACCCAACTAGACTATAAACTGACAAATTTGTCCAAAAGAAAGAGTACAGTAGTTGAATGTAGCTGTGAGGCGGAGTGAAAGAGTTGGCGAACTTATTTAACAACTCTTCACTGTTAAAGTCACCTTAATTAAGCCTGTAAATCAGGCAGCAACACTACAGCTTTCCAAAGCATATGAATTAGTATTCCCCTTTGTTTGAGTCGACAAATATTTTCAACTTTAGTCATCTCTATGCTCGAATTTCTTAACAGAATGACTGAGAAAATATTTCCAACTCCCAGAAAACATTTTCCAACTTTCCCAAACACGCATTCCTCCAACTCGTTATTAACACAGCAGCTGATCAATATTATTAGTTGTCTTCCCAAATCAAAACTTAATTCTCGCATTTATTACCAGAAAAGGGGGATATTTATTCAAAGCCCTAGACACAATTGTTTCAAATACTTCCAACTTCAAGGTGAGGAAAACGAGGTGTACTCAGTCTCCCTCAGTGGGCCTCTGTCACCGATCACCAGCTTGTGTCAGTCAACCCCATGGCTGAGTCAGCTGTGATGGCCAGGCCGCGGAGAAAGCAGCCAGTGTTGATTCCGAGGTCACATGGCAGGCAGTGTACCACCACTTAATGCTTCTGAGTTATCGGAGGGTGAATCTCGTTTAGAAAGTGACGTGAAGAGTATCTTCTGTAAACTAATGTACAGCAAACTGTTATTTACCCAATAACTAAACAAAAGACATTTCAAAGGCTATATATGTAAACATTTGTTCTCCAGATACACAGTTAACTGATGAAGAACTACAGGGTAATTTTTCATTCTAGAACCTTATGTATTATGTAGTAAGCATTTAGGGTTCAAGAATAAAAAAATTCCTGTATTAGGAATGTACTGTACGTACTAAACTAAACGTCCTACTGTATATACAAAGAGGAGAGGCAATGTGGTCAGTACTCTACGACCGCAAAGTTAAGTACCCATATATAGCACACGTTCGGGCCATTTATGTCGGGAAGGCAAACCTCATTCCTCATCTAACCCTGAATTTTTGTACTAGGCCTAAGGTTTATTAGGCTAAGTTAGTTTTGGAGCTGGTAAAGTTAAGTAAGGTTACGGGTAGGTGAAGTTTGATTTAGGAATAGTTAGGTTACATTCGATAACGGGCAGATAAGGTTGAGTTTGGTTACGTGTAGATTAGGTCAAGTTAGGTAATGGGTAGGGTTGGTAAGTCGTTAGCTAAGATCAGGTTAAGTTGAATTAGGCCAAGAGGCTAGGATAGGTTAAATTAGGCTAGGTGCAGGGTAAGTCAAGTTAGGTATGTAAAGTTAAGCTAAGGGTAGATTATTTTAAGTTAGGCAAAGGGTAAGAGTATGTAAAGTTAAGTAAGGGTAGGGTGGGTTCCGGCCAGTCTCCGCCCAATCTCATTAACGCAAATGCTTCGCTAGTGTTACCAGATCCCTCTCTCTTGAGCAGCACCAATCCTGTATTCTGCTATCATCACAAGTTATAAAAGACAGAGTGAGGGGCAAAACTTAAATAAACCAAGTTTGGTTCTCTGAAGGCAAAACAAACTGACATAACGTTGACGCCTTGGTCTTATCCTCGTATGAAAGATAGTAACGTTAGCCCTCCCTCCCCCCCTCCTCCCTCCCCTCTCTTTCTCTGAGATTCCAAACACAAAACCTTACTACAGTATTATGCTTATTTATTTATCTCTCTACTCAGGTTAAATAAACAGATAAAGTGGTTGATTCCTCGCTAGTCGCTGATATGGAGCATTGTGGCAACCAGCGTCTTTAAGTCAAGAAGAGTTCCTAAATTACAGCGGCTGTAATTACTTGCGGTTACATCCATGAGGTGTGTTTTACAGGAGACTCTTAACTGTACACTTTATATCTTCATTGTGATATTTTTGCTTTTCTTTCACGTGTATTAAATTAGTCAGTATGTTACTCTAAGAAAAAAAAATACTTTATTGGAAAATATATGTGGACGGTTCAATGGTTTTCTTTAAGTAATATGAGATGATAGATAACAAAGGTTGATTCAAGTTTACCGAAAATAAACAAAAGGATAGTTAAGTATTATTTTGTGGTATCATTCAAATTCTTTATAATTTAAGCATTTCTTTTGCCAGTAATGAATAACAAACCCTCTTAATTTGTATTCGTTTTTACCGGGAATGTTTCATGAAAGAGAAGTACAAGTAACATCAGAATGCAACAAAGGAATCTCCGGTATTTGGTGTTATTATGCCGCAAGCGTAGCGGTGGCTGCGGCGACTAGGCTGTCACGCCGCACTATTTTGACGGGGCTCATGTCGCGTGACTCACCCGCCTCCGACACACCACCGCCCTGTATATTTATCCTCGTATGCTATTTTGGAATGTGTGCGTATATTTTAGAAAATATTTGATTGTTGATGTTATTTATTTATATTTGTATTCCTATATCAGATTAATGTTGAAAGAGAATGCATTGCTGTATCCTAGACTAATACAGTAATGGTGTAATGTTGTGTCGGCCGTGATGACAGTGTCGCCCAATTCGTACACGGTGCGTCTGGCAAGCCGGGAGGTGATTTTACCATTCCTCTGCCCTCCACACTTTTGTTTATTCTTGAGCCGTTATTAACTTATATGTTAGCCATTAAATATTTTGTAAGTAAAGAGACTCGATGGGTAATTAGAGAACAAAACAAAATGTTCTGTAGGTATCGGGTTAAAGTTATGGCACATGGTAAGCAAACGGCATGCAAGGTAAGCTATCTTTGTGATTTGCCGGTTGCAATTTGTGTGGAAAAATTACGCAGTTTCATATCGTTTCGAAATGTGCTGTTTACTTGGTCCATTAATTATATGATCAATTCATAGCATAGCCATAATAATTATATAAATATCAATGTTCTGTGAAATTAAGAGAAATGTAGATTTGGCAACACTGTGGGAGACGGCGGCTGAGCGGTGGCGGGAAGAAGAGTAGAGTAGACGAGAGGGGTTACAGCGACAGTAAGTGACGAGCCGCGATACAGGAATGATGTTCGTGCGTCGCGGCTCAACACCGCAGTGAGTGCAGTGATGATCATGTTGTGCTAGTGCGTAAAGTGCCCATTGTGCAGTAATTTGGCCTTATGGCGACACCGGACTACAGCCCGCTCCTAAAGCGAGTGCTTCGCTCCTACCAGAATGCAGCCATGACCAGTCTCCATGGGCCGGGACCTAACTCTTACCTGACCGACACGGGCGTGAATAAAAAGTTAGCCGAGTGTGATGAAGAACCTCCTTCAATCAAACTGCTTGATGCCCACACCAAGCAAGAGATATATAGGGAGGTGAGCTTCAAGAAGGCCTTGCTCTACGAGGACTCTCTTAAGAACAAAACGGTAGATATATGTCGGCGGTGTGTTGATGATAGCGAGTGTAGGCGGGCCTCACCACCCAGTCCGCCCACCAACCACACGCCCACCTCTCCCACAAGGGACCCACAGCCTCGCCTGCCAGATGTCAAAGACACCCCTGTAGATACCACTAGCACTGCCATCAGTTCTCCCACTGCCAGTGTCGTCCGGAACTCCGTCAGCGACACCTGCACCTCTGACAACTCCTCCAACACCACCAGCAGCGCCTCCAGCAGCAGTGGCGGTGCTGGTGGGTCATGGGTGGAGCCTGGGGTGTTCCTAGCCCCAGCGCCCTTCCCACCGCAGCCGTGGCCAGTGCTGGCTGTTGCAGACAAGGGATCCCCTGGGGCGGGACGAGGCCGAGAAGAGACCTTACTTGACGGGGAGCCTATTGCTTGCTTCAATGTGGGCGGGGAGAAACGGCTGTGCCTGCCGCAAATCCTCAACACAGTGTTGCGGGAGTTCTCCCTCGGCCAGATCAACGCCGTGTGTGACGAACTCCGAATCTTCTGCTCCCGTTGCACGCCGTCCCAGTTGGAAGCCCTCCGAGTAGCGGGCGTCCTGCCTCACACTGCCAGGTCCTGTGGTCTCATCACCAACACGGACGCCCAGAGGCTAACTCAGGCGCTGCTACACGCCCACCCAACCCGCGCCCCCGCCCCGGCACCCACACAGCCCCAAGACCATCCACACCTACGCGTCTATCACACCTGCTTCGGGAAGTGTAAAGGGCTGGTATGGGATGACCTGTACACGAGTGCCGGCGCTGCCTGTATTGAGTGCGAGGAGTGCCGTGGCTTGTTCCCTCCGGCCCGCTTCGTCTGCCACGCCCACAGAGCACTAGAGAATCAGACTATCCACTGGGGTTTTGAAGCTGAACAGTGGCGCATCTATCTCTTGCTCGCTAAGGATCAGCAGCTGCCTCTCGAGAAGGCAGAGGCGCAACTTAAAACCTTTAAGAATAAGTTTGACCCAGCTGGTGCCAATTACAAGCGCAAACAGGTAAGTTTTCACTACAAAAAGTAACACCATTATTTTAAGCTTAATCGTGAGTTTTAGCCGAAATGACGTAAAAAATAGATATATTCTTGACTTAATTGCTGCCAAACTCCAGCGTGTTGATCACCATAAGGTCACCTGCATATTATTGATTGAACTTTCATCAAGGTCGCGGCACAGACTAAGGAGGGGAAACACCAACACATAATATGTATTATGAAACGGGCATTTTATTTTCCGTAGGTCGATTTAAGGTGAATAGATACGGTGGCACGATTGTTCAGCGTAAAGTAATACTGTACTGTAATTAATAACATTTTGCACAGATAGTACATTATGTATTGTTAATTTTATAAGAGTTGTTATTTTTCACTATATATATTTATTTATTTACCAATAAAATAGCATCCTTTACAAGCACGTACATTACCATCATACTGTGAGTTACACAAGTCTTCCGGCATAAGAAACCACAGATAATTAATCACGACACTGCAGGTCGCGGCAGTAGGAGACGTCGCAATTGCACGTAACCTTCCTACTCCCCGGCCCCGCACCCTCCTCCCCTACCTACCAGATAGAGAGGTCCCGCCATCACAGTCCGGGAGACGGCGCCGAGCAGACAGACATCCTTGGGACTCCAGACGGCCCTGCTTGGGTGCCTGCGCTTACCTGCCAAATGCTTGCGTCATGCAGGCTCACTCATTCCTTTTTCTCTCCAGTCTCGTGTATCTGTTTCGTTCTTTGTGGTAACTCGATAATCTCTCTCTCCAGACAAGAGACTGGAGAGATAAGAAAGATATAGGAATGAGGGAGCCTGCATACGTGTTGTTTATACACTGTTGGAGCACATATTGCGAACTTTTTTATGGGGTAGTATTGTAATAAGTAATTCTTTTCTGCTCAATGACTAGCCTACGATATAATTGAATTTTTTTTTTTTTTTTTTTTTTTTCCTCTCCCCTTCTCTTGCGCTGCCGCGCACGATCCTTGTGTAAAAAAAGTGGTCGGTAGAAAGCCTGAGCAGACGGCAGGGGGAGACAGCCTTGGAGGTCCAGCAGGAGGCAGCCAACCGTGGTCGTCTACGGCTGGCTGTGTGTCTGCACGCGCGGGACACACCATTACCCCCACATTTTCCTCGTATCTTACATGTGTGTGTTTTGTTTAAATGGTTTCAGATTGAATTTGTTGTCGACGTCGAAGATGTATATTTGTCCGATGTTTTATATATCCGGTATATACCTCGTATCTTCCAGTGTACTCCACCAGGTTACCTCCAGTACCTCAAAATGATAGACCAAAGCAAGGACACTGGTGGGGTAATTGTTATTTCAGGACATAGTTGTTAAATGGTGTTTACAAGTAGAGTAAGGTCACAGTCACAACGAGTGGACATAACGGCATCACAAAGAACACTGACGCAGTTATTATATTATCTGTTTTTTGTTTTTTTTCTCACTTCTAACATGAGTTCTTGTTTGTTGTTGAGCCTGTGTTTAATGACTTAGTTTTTCCTTCTTCAAGATGCTTATCCCTTGGTGGAGTTACACCTCTATATTCATCCCTAACACATTTCATTTGTTGTCGCCAGGGCTGTGTTGTTTATTTTTTACGATGCATTTTATATATGGCACTTGTGATTGAAATTTATACTTTAACTTTGTGGTGTATAAAATGAAACCTATATATGGTATTTACAGTATACTATATCTTGTGGTTTTGGACAGTCTCATGTATTCTGTTTAGGTTCTTAAATCAGAGAGTATGTGTTTTAATTGCTGGTATTTAAATAATTGACACGGAGGGGGGGGTGGGGGATTGTTTTGTTATATGCTGTCCTCCTAAAAAGCGAAAACGAACTAAACCAACAGGAAGAGCCTCAATTGACCTTGAGGAGATAATACCTGTATCTTGTATGTGCAGTTTAATAACACTTCAAATCGTTTAATATAAGTAAAAAGTGGAAATTTTTTTATCCGAATAATTCCTTAGTTAAAAGAAAAGAATCACCTGAAGATTATACCCCCAGTTTTTAACCTAACCTAACCTAACCACCCTAACGCTTTTGGGGGGGGGGTGATGTTAGGTTAGCGTAGAAAAGTATGTAATATATCTTCAAAACATGATTACTGAGGTTCATGAACTGTTGTGGGTAGGGGGATCTTATATAGTGGACCTCTCCCCCAGTCAAATTATCTCCCAGGGGATATTTACATGGGGAGGAAGGATGTTATTCTATACTGTATTACTGTGAATTAATTGTATACTTAAAAACAACATCATGGAGACTCATCAAGGCTTACAGGTATTTGGTTAGCCTCAAGGTAGACGGTTCTGAAGCAGTATTGAATGGAAGTTGTAACACGAAATTGTCTTATTTACTGATACTTAAACATTTGTGCTTTTTCGTTCATTAGACTGGTGTAGTACAGGTGAGGGTGTTTAGGTCCGCTCTGCTGCTCCGAATAACTACATATATTTTTGTTGTTGTCTCACTTATTTTGCTTTAATTATGAAGGCGGTGTTGTGGCTTCCTGATGTGTTCACTCAATACCGGGAAATGTTTAAGGAGTGCGGGAGAATTTTCACAGAAACTTGGCTGCATGAGGTGAGGCAGGTTCACTGATAAGCCACTACGATATATTAACATTAAATACTCACTCGGATTTTTTTTATTAATGATTTTTTCTTCAGTGTAGGGATGTTTTTTTTAAGTTGTATTGGTATATTAATGTAGATGTAGTTAGTTATATATTACTATTTTAGGTTTAGTTAGGTATGGTAGTAGTTGGTACAGTAGTTATATGTATACCATCACATCCTCTCCCCAATGGTGTACAATACGCTCGGTTGTGTGTTAATCAGGGCACCAAGCAGAGAATTGTGGGTGTTAAATGGACACCCTTATGGTAGTAGTACAGTAGACGTATATATAGCGAGTTCAAGCTGTCCTGTACAAGCGGTCTTTTTTTGTTGACAATGTTATCCTAAAACAGCTTCGAGAAGAAAAAGTTAAGCTGTTTACCAAAACGGTAACAGCCTTGTCACCAAGTGTGAACTGGTGACACTTAGAACCTTGGAGTGATCGTTGGTAACACTGCAGCTCCCAGACACGAGTTCATCTCTGTTAAGAAGAACAAGTAGTCGTGAAATTGATGGTAGTTCGTGGAGCGTTGATTATAAGACTCAGTGTAGTGAAACCAGGCGTCCGTTACCCTGGTGTAATAAATAGCAAGTCTAGAGTAGGCCGTGAGCGTCAGTCGTGAGGCCGTGAGCGTGTTAAGCACCGTGAGTTCTAACTAGGCCAGCTGGGCACTGTCTGGCAATGCTGTGTTTGGGCTGCACTAACGGCACTGTGTGCTGGCACGTGGTCAGCACCAGGCCGTGAGCGTGTTAATGCTGTGTTGGGCCGGGCACTGGCACGTGAGTCTAGCACAGGCCGTGAGCGTGTTAATGCTGTGTTGGGCTGGGCACCTGGCACGTGAGTGTAGCACTAGGCCGTGAGCGTGTTAATGCTGTGTTGGGCTGGGCACCTGGCACGTGAGTCTAGCACTAGGCCGTGAGCCTGTGTTGGCTGGGCACCTGGCACGTGAGTCTAGCACTAGGCCGTGAGCGTGTTAATGCTGTGTTGGGCTGGGCACCTGGCACGTGAGTGTAGCACCAGGCCGTGAGCGTGTTAATGCTGTGTGTTGGGCTGGGCACCTGGCACGTGAGTCTAGCAGGCCGTGAGCGTGTTAAGCACCTGGCACGTGAGTGAGGCCGTGAGATGTTAATGCTGTGTTGGGCTGGGCACCTGGCACGTGAGAGAAACTCAGGCCGTGAGCGTGTTATGCTGTGTTGGGCTGGGCACCTGGCACGTGAGTCTAGAGCACCAGGCCGTGAGCGTGTTAATGCTGTGTTGGGCTGGGCACCTGGCACGTGAGTCTGCACCAGGCCGTGAGCGTGTGCTGTGTTGGGCTGGGCACCTGGCACGTGAGTCTAGCACTAGGCCGTGAGCGTGTTAATGCTGTGTTGGGCTGGGCACTGGCACGTGAGTCTAGCACCAGGCCGTGAGCGTGTTAATGCTGTGTTGGGCTGGGCACCTGGCACGTGAGTCTAGCACCAGGCCGTGAGCGTGTTAATGCTGTGTTGGGCTGGGCATCTGGCACGGAGTTCAGCACCAGGCCGTGAGCGTGTTAATGCTGTGTTGGGCTGGGCACCACGTGAGTCTAGCACTAGGCCGTGAGCGTGTTAATGCTGTGTTGGGCTGGGCACTGGCACGTGAGTCTGAGCACTAGGCCGTGAGCGTGTTAATGCTGTGTTGGGCTGGGCACCTGGCACGTGAGTCTAGCACTAGGCCGTAGCGTGAGTTGGCTGGCACCTGGCACGTGAGTCTAGCACCAGGCCGTGAGCGTGTTAATGCTGTGTTGGGCTGGGCACCTGGCACGTGAGTCTAGCACCAGGCCGTGAGCGTGTTAATGCTGTGCGGCTGGGCACCTGGCACGTGAGTCTAGCACTCAGGCCGTGAGCGTGTTAATGCTGTGTTGGGCTGGGCACTTGGCACGTGAGTCTAGCACTAGGCCGTGAGCGTGTTAATGCTGTGTTGGGCTGGGCACCTGGCACGTGAGTGTAGCACTAGGCCGTGAGCGTGTTAATGCTGTGTTGGGCTGGGCACTTGGCACGTGAGTCTAGCACTAGGCCGTGAGCGTGTTAATGCTGTGTTGGGCTGGGCACTTGGCACGTGAGTCTAGCACGGATCACTGGGTTAAATCTTTACTCCTCACACTCTCTTATTATATGCGGTATATTCCTTGCCTTGTTTCACAGATGTTTCCTCTACTCTCGGTAATTTAATCACCAAAATATATCAATCTTTTCACCATGATGGACCTTTTATTGTACACGAGGTTCACTTACATGGATTACTCGTGTTGAGAGCCCCTGGACGTGGAGGGTATCGGGCGGGTGTACGTTCTCTCTGGCAGACTAGACTTATAATACGGCGGAAAATTAATTAATTTGTAGGAAGGAGTGTAAGGTTGTCTGGCCGCCACCAAGTATAGGGAGGATGACGCACGTATGCACGGCACCAGGTGTCTCCAACCCTGGTGTATGCACGGCCCGTGTTGACATACAGTGTTGACATACCTGCCTTTCCTGCCCCTGACATGTTTATCTAATTCTTGAATGCTAAATGACTTGTGCGTGAGTGTTACGGGCGCGTATGTGTGTGTGCATTTGGTATCTGCGTGCATTCCCCTTCTCGCCGGGCAGACCACGTCCAGCCCTTGTGCATTCGTGGGCCCGTGACCTTCAGCCAAAGTCACTTGGGGTGGTGGCGCAGTTGCTTAGCCGGGCGGGGGAGGAGGATCACAGTAAGCGGAGAGAAGGCACCTGCACCCTCAGCTGGGGGGGCATTTCACCTGCTGAGACGGCCAGGAAGACAATGCTTGTTTTCTGTGAGTCTTGAACTAGTTCTGAGTCGGTATATATATATATATATATATATATATATATATATATATATATATATATATATATATATATATATATATATATATATATATATACTATATATATATAATTTCCTAGACTTAGTAACAAGAGAACTAGAAGAATCGATTTTGGTAACAGTGAGGTACTCGTTGTGGTAGTTGTAGTAAGCATAAAAACCTAATCTGAAAAATTAATTGACAAATTTTTCTGTAATTTTTAATGATTCAGATGAACGGTAGCCGGAGCATGATGCGCGGGGTGATAATTCTCGTGTTTTGTTTTATAATTTGTCAACTGATGGTCATTATTTCGTTTCAGGAGTTCTCAGAGACTTATACACCGTAAAGAGTCGTTGGTTTAGCCTTTACCTCTCAGTGATGGTGTTGAGACATGAATGGGTTTTAACCACAAATGCCATACTTCCTTTTATAAACAATTGTAGGGGATATTGACCCCTTCCCCATCCAACTAACTCTACTGTACTGTTATGGAGAAGAATTTTTTTTTCATATGTATTCAGTAGGCACACAAACACACACACACACACACACACACACACACACACACACACACACACGCGAGAAGAAACACCGTCTTTTCCTTGTCTGTTTTGTATTCACTTCTGAGGCCGACTCAAGACGTAATCTTTATTGATAGCTTGTTGTTATCTTCCCGACTTGTACAGGTGAAGTGTTAAGGACGGGTGTACTTTGGGATTATTATTGTTGTTGTTGAACTTTCAGGGATTATTATTATTATTATTATTATTATTATTATTATTATTATTATTATTGTATTTGTTGTTGTTGTTGTTGATGATGTTTTTATAATCAGGTTCTGCTTCAGCTGCCAGGGATAATTATGATGCATCTACCGAACCCAAGTACGGTATTAGCCTCCTGCGGTAGACAACTGTGGAAGAATTCAGGGCATTACAAAGTCGTCTGTTGGAGGCCTGTGTAAAATAACGACTACTGCAGCTACCGTGACGTCTAGCCAGATACATATCAGTGACGTGTATGTTTCGTTCACTGTCTGTCTGTATTATTGCTCAATCTACCATAGAGCATTAGCAAAAAAAAACCTTCATTTCCACCTTGTATTGCGTTTCCAGGTTAAATTGGCCCTTAGATCTGATGAAGATTGGGTTCGTTTTGAACTGGAACCCCTAAACTTATGGGTCCGTTTTGAACTGGAACCCCTAAACTTATGGATCCGTTTTGAACTGGAACCCCTAAACTTATGGTACCGTTGGGGTCCTGTTAACAGTGGGTGGGAGGGGGGGGGGGCGTTAGACCTATCACCTTGCTTGTCATCCTTCCATGCGTCCTCAACAAGCAAAGCTGACAGGGGCGCCTCTAACATACCTCAACACGAGCCACGTCCTCCTCTGTGTGTACACCTTGACACCTCTCGTCAACACCACCAGCTTGACCCGCGACCCAACCACAAAAAATGACTAGGTGTAGGTTAGGTGAGGAGGTGTATAAGTAGGGGTGTATGTATGGCGTAATGGCTGCAGGTGGTGGTGGTGGTGGGTGTAGATAACGTTTGAGAGGGTGTTTACTAAGTGGGTGTACTGGGTGGTGGTGATGGGTGTAGGCAGGGCGGTGAAAGTGCGACTTGCTGACTCCACCACACTCTACCACCTTGCTGGCTGCTTGGACTAACCCCCCCACCCCCCCGTAGCCGACACACACACACGCAAACACACGCGGCTACATTTTCTCCTGTAAACAGTAGACCACCTTCAGATCCCAGCCACCAACCTAACCTAACCTTTGGCCCCTTATTGACGCACTTGACTTCATACGGTCATTAACCCACACACACACACACACACACACACACACACACACACACACACACACACACACACTGGGAAAGGAACGCACCCACGTAACCTTTTCACATCCTAAAAAAAAAGAATCAGACGACCTCAAACTGTAGACAAGGCTGGGCTTGGCCTCAACAAAGCGTGACGTCATAGGGCAGTGACGTCACGGGAGGGAGCGGCGGTGGGTTGGGCTGGCTGGAAAGTTCGTCTCTCTCTCTGTTCTTGTGTGTGAGTGTGTGTTAGTCTGTCTGGCTTCCGCTCGTGACCTCCAATGTGTAATAACCGTATGTCTGCCTGTCTGTAATGACTGCGTGTTTGTGTCTGTTTGTCTGACTAATGGTTGGGTGCTTGTGTCGGTATGTCTGGCGGCTTTAAAGTCTGTCTGTGTGTGTGTGTGTAACTGTGTGTAGTACGTAGCTGACTCATACTGTGTGTTTGTATACGATGTTTGGAGGGGGGGGGGAGGTGGGTGGTAGTGGTGATGACGGGAGGGGGATAAAATTGTGGTTATGCTGATGGTGGTTGTAAAAGAATTGTGGTGGTGATAGTGGTTGTCGAGAATTGTGGTGGTGATAGTGATTGTCGAGAATTGTGGTGGTGATAGTGGTTGTAGAGGAAGCGGATGGTGGTGGAGAAAGATTAGAGATGGTGATGGTAGAATGTTCGTAGCTATAGTGTGTGATGATGATGATGAAGATGATGATGATGATGATGATGATGATTATAATGATAAGAGAAATTAAAAGACCTTGTTAACTGTATTGGTAAATGTGGAAGATAATAAATTCAGTTCTATATGCAAGGTCACGTAAATCTCTCTCTCTCTTGGTCTCATGACCTCAACTCCCTATTTTACCCCGTTCTCCCCCCTTCATCTACATCCTCTCCGCCGCTTCTGAACCTCGTGCCTCTACTCACCCTTTCCTAGTTCCTAACTCACCTCCCTCATGACTCTCTCATGACACCCTCCTCATGACACCCCCTCCATCATGACACCTCCCTCCTCATGACCCCCTCCTCATGACACCCTCCTCATGACACCCTCCTCATGACACCTCCTCATGACACCTCCTCATGACCCCTCTCATGACACACCCTCCCCAGAACCTTCCTCCACCTGTCTTATCACCCTCCTGCATGTAACCTCCAGCCACTCCACTGCCCTTTCCTCCTCCTCTTACTCCATCACCCTGCGTTATGGCCAGGAATATAACACCAACATCCCTCCCCTCCTCCTCTCCCTCCTCCTCCCTCCTCCCTCCCCAAGTGAACCCTGTAACCTCCCCATGCCTGCAGTAATGTTCCCCACCACACGCCCCCCCAATCTCTACTCTCAGCTCCTCCACACCCCTGTTTCACCCCCCAGCCTACCATTCCCTCACCCCCTCTCCCCAAGCATCCAGTCAACCCTCCGACCCCTAGCCCCGCCCCCCACTAAACAAGGTGACCCCCCCCTCCCCTCCTTCTCTCTCTCTCCGTCCTTCCCTGCAGCCTGTGGTGGGCAGCCACTGCAGCATTCAGGCAGACCCACCACCACCTGCACGAGAGTTGGGGGGGATAGGGCTGTGCTTGGGTCCAGTAAGAGGGGTGGCGGGAGTTGGCTGTCGAAAGCTGACCCCAGAGGCTTCTCCTCTCTAGGTGTGTAGGTGGTGGGGCCAGCAGGTGGAGGTGGTGGGGCCAGTAGTGGAGGTGGTGGGTCAGCAAGTGGTGGGGTCAGTAGATGTAGGTGTTATGGTCACTAGCAGCATCAAGTAATAGCAAAACAATCCTACTAGAACATTATATAACCATTACACCAAATACCCTACAATAGCAGATATAATAGCTAGCAATAGACCCCAAATAGCCCGCAATAGACCCCAAATAGCCCGCAATAGACCCCAAATAGCCCGCAATAGACCCCAAATAGCCCGCAATAGACCCCAAATAGCCCGCAATAGACCCCAAATAGCCCATAATAGCTATCAAAAAACCCTCCGATATAGTTCGCTAAAGTCAACACACACCCACTATGTTTCACGGTGTCCAACTGAAGTACAACACGGAGACTCGCCTGACACAACAGTAATGTACATGAATTTAGTCTACACCTTTCGATCGGGATTTTTTTTACGTGTGGGGTGAGGGAAAGGAGGGGCCGAGGGAGGGAGAGGTGAGACACTATCCCTAACCTGTACCTGTGTGGGTGAGAGAAGGATGGGATGGGAGAGGTGAGACACTATTCTTAACCTAACCTGTTGTACCTGTGTGGGTGAGAGAAGGATGGGATGGGAGAGGTGAGACACTATTCTTAACCTAACCTGTAGATGTTATATGTTGAGACTTGTTAGAGTTTCTGTTTAGGGGAGGAGGGGGGGTTGTTTGTTTTTTTGTTTTGTCCTTGTATGCTCCTGTTTTATATGTTTGTGTTTTTGTGTTTAGATGTTAATTTTATAGTTGTCTTAGTGTGTGTGTGTGTGTGTGTAAATCAAGAGAGAATGTGTGTGTTTGTGTAAATCAGGAGAGAGTCGTTGAGTTATGGTAGCGTCACTTTGCCTTGGTTGTGTCGTCCGCCTGTCTCTGATATCACTGAGGAATCTCCACAAAAACTAACCCACCGACGAAGAGAACCAATCAAAACTCACCCTAACCATCCTGGGGTAGATTTGATTAGTCCAGACTCAGGAAGAATTCAGATGTTTACTTGTTTCGTGTCGTCCACTTTCGTGATTGGTCGAGAGTTTCCTGACGTCAGTATCAACAAAACGTGGACAGCTGCCCCACCGTGAGAGATTTTAATACTTGTTTCGTGATTACTGATTCGTTCTCTTGTTTGTTCCCCTCCCTACCCCCCCTCCTAACCCCCTCCTCACCCCTCTCTCCACTCCATCCCTCCCCACCCTTCCACACCTCTCCCCAACCCTTTGTCCACCCTTCCCCACCTCTCCCCAACCCTCTCTCCATCTCTCCACCCTTCCCCACCCCTTTCCCCATCCCTCCTCACCCCTCCACACCTCTCCCCAACCCTCTCTCCACCCCTCCTCACCCCTCCCCAAGATTTGTTTCCAATGCACTAAGGAAAATAATTAAGTGAATTCCCACACCCGTGTATTAAATGGCGAACTTTTACTACTACTACTACTACTACCACTACTGCTGCTGCTGCTATAACTACTACTACTACTACGCCTTTCAACTGATAAATTAACGAAAGACTGCACAGCATTGTATAACTTTTAAGGTTGGAGACTGTTTTTTTTTTACTTGTTGTGAATATCAATGACATGAGGTAAAGTGTATCCCAACAGCTCTGTAGTAATGGTAGGAGACAAGACAGTTCCCTTAGTGATGGTAGGCAAGGAGACTCGTCTAACCGTGTACACAATGGTAACTGGTTTAGCCTAACGTGGTCAGCAGTGTTCGTGGTCCGTGACGGCTGACTGGCTGACACACCACACGGAGCAGTGACGTCAGCTACACCATCATCAGTCATTATGCTTACCAGGCTTCCGCTATACCTGACGTTACGTACTGTACCTGTGCCAAGCTTCCCTCCTCCTCCCTCCGCTCCACACACGTCAGCTCAAGGACACAAGACACACACACACACACCACACACACACTGTAATTTACTGAGGTATATGTGTGTTACTGAATACAAAGAAGAATATAATATGCAGGAAACCATACAAGCGATAGCAGCGATAGACAAGTAATCTATGGTGAGGAAGTGAGTGAGAGGGAGGGTGAGGGAGTGAGTGAGAGACAGGGGGGGGGGAGGTAGCAAACGTGTTGAAGGAATATATTGCGTGTATTTATCCATCCACTATCACACGCAGTCTCTGACATTGAAGGTCGTGGAATAACAAACTGAAATACTGTACAGTCTGTATTCTGTTTCTTAGTTTTCTCTTTTTATCGCTGTTCCTTTATCTTGCTTCTGTTAGGTACTGTACCGGGGGACGAGCCACCAGTTCTACACCGTTACGTAAGCCTTCGTTAGGGTTATGTGTAGCTGAGGTGGAAACGAGTTCATTGTTTTGTGTGCCTGGCGTTGTATATTCTTTTGTAACCAGGTAGAACTACAAACTCGCCCTCCTTACGTGCTAACAGACAACTCTGTACTGGGAACTGTAATCGTCTGGGAATGTGTCTGTGTGTTCGTATAATTAAGGGTAATTCATCAGTAGAGAGGGAGACTAAGTGAGCCGTGGGGGAGATGGCGATAAGGTAGGTTTTGCCTTCGTCAGGTAGGGAACGTCAGTCTTTTGTCAGGAGGATTGCGCCAGGTAATCCCCGGCCCCTGGCTGAGTTTGGGGCTTGGGGCGTCCTTGCCGAAGGTCGAGAGTTCCTCGTTGGGTGACGCGCAACACTCCCTCATTTCCTGGGTACAAACCTCGACTGTGTTTTTCTGCTTCGTCCACCTACTTTTGTCTCGCTTAACACACTCAG